ACGCAAAGATGAGATGGACCGAAATTAAACGAAATTATTTATTCAAGCAATGTACTGATATGAAAGCTCATTTAGAATATATCCCAAACAAATGGTTTTCAATGTTACTTTTTCGTTGATTTTTCGTCGTTTTCTGTGTGTAAAAAAAATAAGAAATTGAAATAAAAGCATCCGATTGAGAACCTGAGGTATTCAATCGAATCGAAGCACAACTGATTTCTTTTGTACTAAGCAAATCAGCTGAGAAGAAACAATCGACCCCACCGCTACCAACCCTTTTACTTCTATTACCCGATGAAATTTTTACAGGACATGCACTGTAGGTGTAATATTATTTCTCATTTTCTTTTTTTCTTGTCGTTCTATGAAACGTCCGCATAGAGTCAATTCAACATGCTATATGAATGGCGTCCGTCGACTATCATTCTCTCTTTTTCTTCTTTCTCTCATTCTTTCTTTTCCTCGTCTTTCTCCTTGTTCGTTTGCTTAAATTTCTCTATCGAGACACATGACGACGCCATATATATCCTTACGTTCGTGTTGTTTGTCTATATGTTATTTTCTTTTCTTCATGTGTTTTTTTCTTATTCTTCTCTTTTTCTCTCCTTCTCTCTGAATTGTAAGCGAGTGAGAGAGAAACAGCGACATATAAATAGAGGGCGATGATGCAGGGCTCGCTGTTGGTTTTTTTCCGTCATTTTCTTTGGATGTGTGCGTGTGTGTGTATGTGAGATCAATGCTGTGAGAAGGAGGGTAGTTCGAATCTCGGCTCGAGCCTTCTCTTTTCTCTTCTCGGGTAACGTACATCGTCATCGTTCTATGCGGTCATTATATTTCGCGATGAGAGAGGAAATATAAAGCACCTATTCTTTCTTCGTCTTTCTTTTCTATTCTAGGCGATGACGTTGGCAAATGGAGATCGATACCCAACGCATAATTTCGTTCGTTCTGAAAGATGAATAGAGAGGCAACACAGATGGTTTCTGGTTGAAAAGAACGTGCTGAGCAGAGCGAGCAGAGAATTGCTATTGAGTGAAATAAAAACATGTACATTTTGTCAAATAGATTGAACACTACCGAAAAAACACGCACATACATAGGAGGCTACATTCGGCGTGCTGGTGCACATATTTCGTATCTACATTCAATGTTTGTCAAATGCTGATCGAAAGAGATGCAAATTGGAGTGCTCGGCTACTTGCAATATGACATGTTTTTCTCGAACTCATTTCAATATAAAAACTTCTATTTTTATATCATATTATCAAGAGAAAACAGGAAGATAAAAAAAAACGAGAGGACTATCAGCGAGGGATTATATATGTCAGCAAACTGGTTACTTCTAGTAGATGTCAGTAGTTGTTGGTAACGAAGAATTTTAATCTTTTTGATAAACTTCATTCCGAAACGAGTCAGAAGTTGCTCAACGAATGAAAACTGTTCGACAAAGAAAAGATTTCCTAGACAAAGTCTTCAGAAGCGTTCAAAAGCATTGATCTCGTGTAGATGTCGTTAGATGCCATTGAATAAACATGTTGTTTTCTTATTGTGAGTTGAACACGTGAACATCTAAGGGTGTTTTCTAGATATTCAAGAAGAAAACCAATGAGCAGACGAAGAACAAATGTGCAATATGGTTCTTGTTCGTCTTCTCCACGTCGTCACTATTCCAAATTTCGATTGAAACTCTCAGGTATGATTTTTCAAACTCATACATTTCCATACGTAAGGTAGCAGATTTTGATCTTTTAAAACAAGCTTCTTTTGATGTAAAAGATAGAACTATTTTCAATGAGAAAACAGATGTTCATCGACATCCACTTGTTTGAAAGCGCACTCACACGCACACACATTGATATTATTGAAATAAACCATCGACAAACATTTTCTTTCAAAACAAAACAATGTCCGATCAAATTCGAAGCAAATCTTTTATTTCAGATTTCATTTTCCATATTTAAACAAGATTAATTTCAAAAAATGGATCTACAACCATTGAGACAACTTGATTATCTTCAAAGAACACTTTCAATTTTTCTAGCCAGTCCATCGGATATGACCGAACAATTTGAGCTGCTCATCGATGAACTTATCAAAGAAAACAAGCAAGGAGTTAAATCACCGAAAGTACGTTTTCTTTTTTATACGTTCATCACGCATGTTGATCTCCGTTCGTTTAGCACTCTCCGGAACAAATTTCGTCAGATTCCAAATCTGAAGTATTGCCAGCGAGCAATTCGCCGCAACCGTTACCTGTAAGTATTTCGCTTGCTTTCCGGGAAGGATCCATTTGCTTTTTCTCTATGCAGAAAAAGCGCTCAGCACCATTGTCAGCAAATTCTAAGCCTCCGCCCACGAAACGTCTCAAATCTGTGACAACAAAAGATGATGACGAAAGTCTTAAGAAAAAGAAAAGTCAACCTGAAGAAAAAGTGATTACGAGTACTAAAGATGATGATATATACGATGATGAAAATAGTAGTGATGAAAGCAAATCGAAACCATCAGAATCTCAATCAAATCCATCTACATCAGCAACTCGAGATATGGATGAGTTTGCTATCGAACTAGGTCTTGTTTGTAATAAATGCATGTAAGTATAATCCTTGATTTGCTGACGAAGTCTTCAAATATTCGCTCTTTTCTAGGGTATTAACTGAAGAGAAAGATAACCGTTTAGTCGAATGTCATGAATGCCAAGCGAAGTATCATCAAAAGTGTCATAAACCTCCAGTTAGTACTGCTGATATTAGTGATCCTCGATGCCTATGGTATTGCTCGAAATGTCGGAAAATGATCAATAAGAGAGTACGTTTTGAGAATTCATCGAACGCAAATATTATTGATCTTTTCTTTTTAGCAACAATCCCAAACATCCATAAAAGAGACCAAAACAAATAGTAATCCATCTGTATCAAATATAAAATCCAAACCGGCCGAGTCAACGCTATCTACTGGTAAAAAAGGTTTATCAACGTCAATTGCAGATGTCACAAGTTCATTTTTTTCCTTCAAACCAAAAGTAAGAAGATTGCGTGCTCGCGATTGAACATACTTTCTTACCTTTGATTTTTCTGTTCTAGTCATCCGAATCTATTACATCAGATAGTTCAGCAAATAATCACTCAACCGCGTCCAATTCGACTTCGTCAGTAACGAATGGCACAACTCCAAAAAACGCCAACGGATGGGCATCGTTAGCCACTGGGTTTAAAGAAAAAAAGAGTACACCAGAATCGAGTACTAGTCCATTGTCCACATCAGCAATTCTTGCCGATTTAAATGCATTAACTTCATCCACTAATAGTAATAATATTAAACGTTCACCTCCATCACCCAAACCTACGAGTACAACTTCATTGAATCCTCTGTTGAAACAGCCAAGCAATGGTAATACCAGTTCATTAACATCGAACAACACAACTGGATCGATAAAACCTACAAATTCATCACTAAAACCCAGTGTACCATCATCTCCGCCTGTACTAAAACCTCAATTATCATCTTCAAAGTCCACGCAAAAGTTGCTACCGGCAAACAAACCTCTACAACGAATTAGTTCACCGACGCCCATCGGTCGACCAACTTCGCTACTAAAATCGCCTCCTTCGACAACCCCTCCAGCTCTCAATCGTTTGAATAGTTCAGGCAGTAATAGTTCAGGAAGTAATTCTCCCTCGTCAACTAGTGCCAATGCCAAACGAGCAACTGGCTTGGATTATGAAAAACGTTTGAAACTAATGAAGAAAAGAGCAGCGGAAAAGAGTCTGACTAAAAAATTTTGAAAATATATATCTTCTTTCTCTCTCTCTTTGTGTATCTATGTTCGAATGTTTAAATATGAGTGTAAATGTATATACATATATGGGTGTGTGTGTGTGTGTAACTGTGTTCTGCTTTGATCCGTTTTTTTCCTTCTTCATTTTGTCGAATCTCTAAACATTTTCTTTTTTCTCTCGCTCATCACACACACAGAGAGAACAGTAAAATGAAAGACGGAACACTTTGTGTGCGAGGAGATCGACTGTTCATAACCATATTTAGATTAGCATTTCTTCTTCGACTTCTCCACGAAAACCACGAAAGGCAATTCTTACTAGTCAACAGTACAATTTTCTTAGTAAGATATTCGTCAAATAGGAAGAAGAGAAACTCTTTCAATTTCACACATTTCTCGTGATACTATATAGAAATAAAGTCAGATAAACATTACTACGAATTCAAATCTATCTTCTCTATGTCAAGTCAAGTGCATTGAACTCAAGGACAATTACCAGAGTGTAACGAAGAACATAGCCCACTGACGTCATAATTGATTTTCCTCATCGCTCAGTTTGCATCTATATTCTTCCCGTTGAGAATGTCTATTCACCGTAAATCTGATCAAGGGATGCATAGGACATTTCGCCTTTGATGACATGTAATCTCAGGTGCGAATCTTTGTCTTCACTATGACGAATCGCTCGTCGTATTATCAAGATTGATATCCCCATTGAATCGAAAAGCGAGAAAAAGAGAAATGAGATGGATCTTATGTAATAAGAAGAATTTCACTAATTGGTCACATATATTTGCAAACAACGAAATATACTTTCAACAAAACAGAACACTGCTTATGCAACTTCTAATCTAAAGTAGTTCAAAATCTTCATATGGTTGTTGCTTTTGATAGATGATAGATTTCAACAAGTACCCTGGCGTAAGAAATTTTACATTGTGACGCCATGATCGATATTGATTTTCCAATCGAGATCGATCAGCATTTGGATCAACGAGCACAATTAGAAGTTTGACTTGTGATTTAGTTACTTGATGTTGTTCCCGCTCGAATACCGTTGCTCCGCTAAGAACGGCTAACTCAGCTAATTCATTTCGTGTTATTGTCCGTTGAAACGATGCACAATTAATCACGAATCCGATGGCGGGACTGAATAGTGGTAGCGTTGAACAACGACGAGCTAAATGCATCGTAGACATGGAATGATCGCCGTGAATTTCGAATCGTGTTTCGTCGACGATTTCATTTCGTAAGAGACATTCTTCGATCCATCGGATTGAAACTATGAAAATGCGTCGAGCAGCTGCTTGAAAGATCTTTTTCGAGAATATACATCGAAGTGGATTGGACGAATCATCGACGAGCAAATGTGTTGTAGAAGAATTAATATTCATATTATTCGACAATGAAGCATACGAAGAAAAGTGTTTGATAAACAATTCTAATTGATGCTAAACACAGAAATTTATCATAGAAGAACAAAGTTAATCGTACCCATTGTTCTTCTTGCAAGTAGATGGTTGCAATAGAAACATGTCGCTGTTTGTGATGATTGCTTATGGGTGTTGGTATAGGATTCGTGTAATCGTATTCGATTGAATTTTCGGATTTCATATCATCATCGATTTCATTAGTTAGCTTGAAAACAAGAATGATCCAGTAAGAGAATGAAGTTCGGATGAGCTTACATTGTGATGAAACTTGGAGAAGATCTGTTTGATTTGATGAACATTGATATTGGTATTTGTTGAGGCAGATTCTGCAGATGTAGATGTAGACCACGGATTGAGTTGCGTTGATTTCTTTTTCATGACTAGACGCTTTTTGGTGGGAAAATTTCGATGAGATGTTTTCTTATTCATTAACTAAATGAAAAAATAATCAAACCAAATCGAATATTTCTCTAATGGAAACCAACTCGTTTCGCCTCCGTTGGCTGAATATATGCTTGCAGATGTCTGAAATATTGAATAATATCCTTCAATAACAATTCATTGGGCTGAATTATATTACTTTGCACAAAATGAATTTCGTTGTGCTCGAGAAAGACACCCATCGATTGAACAAGTGCTTCGATGACGTTTGAAATCGACCAGATACTTGTGACCTAGGGTATTGTCTGTTTCAACCTGAAACGACATGATCAGACGAAGATATTCACAAAAGAGAAAGAAAGATTATTATCCGCACTCATTTACACTTTTCTTTTCTTCGGCTTACACGTGACAAATAATCAAATGTTTTCGTAGAGAGTAAAGATTTCACGTTCGATTTGAATTTCGATTCAGAAAGAAAACGACGATAAACATGTCCGATAGAACATTTCTCTCTGGTCCTACATAATCATCAAATTACGATCAATTTGTATTGAAGCATCTCAATCATAACGATGAAGAGAGCGAAAGAGAGAGAGTAGATGTCAGTGAACGTTAAACATACACAATGACTCATCAACAGTCAGTATTGGCCGTAGACATTTATGGTTAACTAACAAAAGAGACATTTTTTCGTTTGGCACCAATATTCTATCATCCATTGTTATAGATATGGAAATAGTCGTTGTTTTTCTTTGTATTTCAGAATTGGAATTCTATCAAATATGAAGCGATTTTCTTTGCTCTAATCTGATTGCAAATAAGACACTCTCACTGTAGTATGAATAGAATTTTTTGATTGAATTATGTCAATGTATACTGGTATACCCCGACCAGTAGCTGATCTTTGGTAGGAACTTGATATTTTCATGTTTTCATCAGTAGATGAATATGTTCTAGTGAAAACGATGATCTAGCGACAATGATTGTCGTTGATAGTATGTTTGGATTCACCACACATAAGATGAACGTTCGTTTTCGAGCAAATCGTCGTTTGTTACCGCAATGGAAGCTAGCAATCGAACAATTTCAACGGCATCTAGATTACGAAAAATGTTTTAATCAAGTCACAGCCATTGGATCGTGGTATGAGAATTTACTCGCTCGAAAAAGTGCCGTACAACTAGCGGCGTTCAAAGAACATGTAAGTCATTGGAAAGGACGAAAATGAGATTTTTCGACGATTGGTGTTTTAGCTATTTCGTTTTCTTCATCTGTTCAATGTAAATTCTGGTGTGACATTGCAACCGTGCTATCGATATTCAACAGAAAAATGCGGAGGGAAAATTGTAGCAACCAAAGCATGGTGAGTGCAGAAATAAAAACTGTCGGTATTCATACATGTGGTTTTCTGAGACATTTCAGGGCAGTACATGATAAGATCGAAATGTTAATTGGTTGTATAGCTGAATTAAGCCCAGAAGAAGAACAAGTTTTCCTCAAGCCTGGCGTCAACGATTTCTCTGTTATGTATTCATGTCGAAAGAAGTGCTCACAACTATGGCTTGGTCCTGCCGGTAAATAGTCGCCTAATCAGTTTTGTTTCGCATTGATATGTGTTCGTATTTAGCCTATATCAACCATGATTGTCGAGCAAATTGTAAAGTAAGAATCGATAGTTATTGTATTCTTCTGATAGATCGATGAAAACTTTCGTGTTATTCAGTTCGTGGCAACAGGCTTAAGTTCGGCTTATATACATGTTCTTCGTCCGATCGAAGTTGGTGATGAAATCACTTGTTGTTACGGATCGGATTTCTTCGGTGACAACAATTCACTTTGTGAATGTCGTAGTTGCGAAATGTAGGTGCCTATTCTTTATAAATCTGTCGATCGCAACCATTGTTTCTATTCTAGGCTTGGTCAAGGTGGTTTCGCGCGAGACAATTCAGCACTATCAAAACCAGCATTAGGGACGGTCGCGTCATCTTCAACAACATCTACGACAAATCAATCATCAACGAATAGAACAATACTTGTTCCAACACGTCTACGTCAAACTGACAAACGTTTACGAAAGATCTATTCAGCGAATAATAGTAATGCGACAATGAAAGAGAAAAGTAAAGTGTTTACCACGAGATTACAAACAAGGAAACATGTTAATTATTTTAGAAGAAACATCCGATGTAGAAACTAGTTTCATACCAGTAAAACAATTAATAGTAAATCATCGAAATAGAACGGACCAATTCATCTCTCCAAACAACGATGCAAAAGTGATGACGAATGTAAATCAAACTTCATTAATCAATTATTTGATAAACTATGTTTATCATTTAGAATACAACAACAGTTACTTCTGATGAAAATAAATGCAAAAAGAAGAAGATAGTAAGTTTATTTTAACTTCCATAATTCTATCTCGAATGGTCTTCTTCGCTTTTTGAGATTATTCGAAAGAAGAAAACAAGTAATATTAACACTAGTCTACCCTCTCAACCTTCATCTGTGAATCGACTCATCACTCGTCGACGACCAAGTAGTACACATTCATCGTCATCGAAATCGCCTGTTACTATCTCACGAAATCAACCAACACCATCCACGGCGACAACTACTTCGTCCGACTCTGCGTTTTTCTCCGATGGTACGAATTCCACTTCGCGTTCATCGACAATACCTACCAAACAAACGACAGAATCTACGTCAAACACGACCCAATCACAAGTAAAACTGAATCTCGACTTTAATCCACTGATCTTCTCCTTTTCTATTAGACAATGGTGAATCACACTCGTTCATCACGTTTACGTTCACCTGCGCTATCTACATCGTCATCATCATCGTTATCCTCATCTTCGCGAACGTACACCGGTGGTCGTCGACGTACTATTTCTCAATACTCATCATCATCAGCCTCGTTGACAACACCCACTCATTCAAATAATCCAAATTTTCTTATTTGGCGACCGACTCTTCGTTCACTTCGTCATTCAAGTACATCTTCATTTAGTTCATTATCATCACGAACTGATAGTGAAAACAACGATCATCATCTGAATAAGAAGGAAGAAGAGAATCCGAATTCTCAGCGAAAAATTGTACCAAAATTAACAATCCGTATGAGACCTGATCCGATTCTGTACAATGAACTGGGCAAGGTGAATCCATCGAAATCTTCTCTCGTTACGATCAAACTTGAGAATGGAAAACGATCATCTCTCGATAATTCATCATTGCGTGCGAGTAAACGTCGAAAGACATAACATTTTCATTCGAAATACATGGCATCGTTCAGATGTTTGTCTCTAACTTTCATATATTTGTGTACGTATGTGTATTTGTACATTTTCTGTTTGTTTTGTGCAGTCCAATAACAGAAATTAATAAGACAAAAGCTTAAATATATCGATTTTGCGTAATAAAAAAGAATATCACCTTTGTTCTGTACACTAAAAACTACAATGACAAATTTTAGATATGGTGCAAATCTTTATTCGACAGTGAGTGATTGCATTTCGTTTTTGTCCACATCTTTAAAATCATTTCTTTGATTCAAAGAACAGAAAACTCATCGGAACTACTTCTGATTGAATTGCAAGGTAATTTAGTAAGTTGATTGTCTATTAGTACGATCATTTTACAAACACATCTGTAGGAATATGCTGCTGGAAAACAATCCTTATCCGGTGAACGTCTGGGCTTTCTATTTTTCACCCAAAATGTAAGTTAAGATGAATTGAAGTTCAGCAAATGGCGACGATGCTTGTAGGATATGCCTGTATGCGTGATTGGACAACACGTTCTTGATGGGAAAATGGTTGAATTGGAAAAACCATTGTTCGTCATGCGGAAACAACAAGAGGATGGTGCGAACAATACAAGTTATCAAGTTGAATATGTTATCAAACGAAAATTACTCTTCCACAAACGATCGAAACCAATTGTGCATTATGCATCGAAAAAAGTCTGATCTCTTATTCTTCTCTCTATGAACTGCGATACACACCTGTAAAAGTTTCATTGTGATCAAACTATTCATCTAAATATATAATGTCTGATAGCGACTCTTAAGAAATTACTGCTATCTTCGAGCAGTCCTACATATATGGAGAAATCGTTCGGTAGAGGGCAGTGGTCGCCGATGGTTCGTCCAGCCAATATGTTCGTAGAGTTTGAATTTGCTCATAGCATCATGGCTTCATTCAATGAGAATCGTCGTAGACTTTTTCTTTGAACGATCTATCTACGATAGTTTGTTGAGTGTACCATGCTAATTTCGTAGAATAAAGTATGGCTCTCTCAACAGCATCTCTCCAAAATGAAATTGACGACCTAACTCGACGTCATACAACATTTAAACAGAAATGGTTGAATAAACAGCGTACTATTTCTGATTTACTTGCATCAGCTGTTGTCGTATGTCAAACAAGTGCTAACGATATTCATCCTTCTGAACGACAAGTCTCATCATCAAATGTTGACGATGATTCACATTTCGAACATCGACTCGTTGATTATGTTATTAAGCATGCACCGATTTCAATCACTGATCTTGGCCAAATATTTTCCAAAGATGATGAACACATTAAAAAATCCTTGAAGAATTTGAAGATTAAACTTGATACTGATGAGAAGATCGTTTTACCTCTTAATTACACTGATTTATCATCCAATTCAACTACATCTAAATCTTCTGTAAGTCCGTTAAAACGTTCTGTTCCATCATGGATGGATGTACCGACACGATACGGCCCATCAGTCCGTGACCGTACACCGCGACAGCTAGTTCAATTACTTTCACATCCAACTGCATGTGAATCTCAACGAGAAAGTTTCAATGTTGAAATGGATCGATTGCTTCATCGGCAAACTGCTATGGAGAAAATGTTAGCACGTCGTTTTCAAACGGATGACATAATCCAAGAATATTGTCAATATACAACACGTGATGAATGTCCCTTTGCAAATCCTCATTCATATCGACATTCCCGTTCACCATCAACATCATCTGATAATGAACAAAAGCTATCAGACGATGAACTATCAGCGAGACGGAAGAGAAAACGAGATGATTCTAACGAAATCAATGATTCGAGCAAACGCTCGTCGTATCATCGTCGGAAAAATGGACGCAATTCAAATACTTGTGGCAAAGTACATTTTCGACGTTTAATCAAATCTCACACAGATAATTCACTTGGTGATTGTTCATTTTTAAATACTTGTTTTCATATGGTAAAGCACACACATCATGAAAAATCTTCATTTTTCAAACAATTGTTTTCGCTGTATTTAGGATACATGTAAATATGTTCATTATCAAATTGATAAAACAAATTTCGTTCCATCATCTACCAATAATCAGAAACCAAATCGTCATTTACCTATTGTCGAACGAATTAGTCCGGGTTCGGTTCCACCTCAATGGGTTCAATGTGATCTACGTCAATTTGATATGTCCGTACTCGGAAAATTCTCTGTGATCATGGCGGATCCACCTTGGGATATTCATATGGAATTACCCTATGGAACTATGGCTGACGAAGAAATGAGAAAGCTCGATATACCTTCGTTGCAAGATGATGGGTACATATTTCTATGGGTAAGATATCTCAAACGAAAGACAAATAAACAAGAATATTTGATTATTTCTAGGTAACGGGTCGTGCAATGGAGTTAGGTAATGAAAATTGTTGTTTTTATTTCTGCTTGATTAGTGTAAATGATGATTGACTTTTTAGGTCGTGAATGTTTACGTATTTGGGGCTATCAACGATGTGATGAAATTATTTGGGTGAAAACTAATCAATTACAAAGGATTATCCGTACCGGTCGAACAGGTCATTGGCTTAATCATGGCAAAGAACATTGTCTTGTTGGTGTCAAGGGCTCTACAGCTGGTATGACGCGTGGTCTAGATTGTGATGTGCTTGTTGCCGAGGTACGTGCAACATCTCGGAAGCCGGATGAAGTTTATGGTCTCATTGAACGTTTATCCCCTCGAACACGGAAAGTAGAATTATTCGGACGGCCACATAATGTTCAACCAAATTGGATTACACTTGGAAATCAATTGGATGGCGTTCGTTTGGTTGAACCCGACGTCGTTCGACGATTTCGACAGAGATATCCGAATGGATACTCTATGACTTCAACTAATCAGCAGCATTCATCTCAACCGCAGCAACATGATGGAAAATCAGCAATGAACAATCTTCATCTCAATTCCAAATAGTCGAAGACAAGAAAAAACATTCAGTTTTGTTGTGTATATAAAATATTTTTTAAATAGAAAATATAAGAAGGCTCGTAATGATAAGCTCGAGAGATTTATTTGCCTTCTCGCGTGAAATTCGATACGCATTCGTTGACTAGTAAATGTCATCGTAGAAAGCGAGAAGACACATGTGTATCGGTTTGTTCTGTTTCGTCGCGCTCGGTAGGTAATAAAGAGAATATTTCGAAGCATGGACGTGAAGAAAAAAAACAACAATTTCACCTCTGATTCTTCTCGTTCTCGAATATTATTATGGACATCGTGAGAGGTTTACGAATCTGATGTTTCAGTTTTCTATCGACAGCGACAGCAGTAAGCAAATTGTACTTCAATTTTCTTCGTTCTCCGTTTACCTTCACATACGGCGTGATTCGAAAGAAGACAAGCAGGTTTTTCTCCAGTTATTCATCAATAGGTATGTCTTCTATCTTATTCGTTGCCTGACTATCGATTAATATATGAGAGAAAGAAACAAAACGAATCATTCGATAAATAAATACGAAAATTGTCCATTCTATCACATGGGAGTAACAGTGCAAGCAAGTATAAACAATCGATGTTACTGTTGTTTTAGATATTTGAAATAGTTCACATTCCGAAAAGTCGAAATCATGAGTCAAAATCCACCAAGTGACGCTTTTCTTCGAGAAATCTTTCAGAAGTAATTTTTTGTTGAATGAAATTATTTGACCCATAGTTGTTGTATCCGTAGGGTTGATACGGATAGATCAGGTTCGATTTCGTCAAATGAACTTCAAGCAGCTCTGTCAAATGGAACATGGAGTCCATTTAATCCTGTAAGATTCCGTTCGATCGACTAAATCTTTGACAGTTTTTCGATTTCAGGAAACCATTCGAATGATGATTGGTATGTACGAATGTTTTTTTTTCGTGAATTTCTTATCTTTGATCAATTGAATAGGTATGTTTGATCGCGATGAATCATCAACCATCGACTTTCAAGAATTCCGTTTGCTTTGGAAATATGTCTCCGATTGGGAAAAGTGTTTCAAGTAAATTTAGACTTTTTCATTTAGAGAAAAGACAATTTCCTTTTCGTATTTCTGCAGACAATTCGATTTAGACGGTAGTGGTGCAATTGATAAACATGAGTTGAAGACAGCGTTGAGTTCATTCGGTACGTTATGACTTTGTCTTCTTCGAAATATTGATTTTTGTTTGTAGGCTATCGTTTATCCGATAATTTCTATGAATTATTAATCAAACGATTCGATCGAACGGGTCGTGGTAACGTTGCATTCGATGATTTCATCCAAGCCTGTGTTTCCATTCAGACATTAACCAACGCTTTTCGTCATTTTGATCGTCAACAAATTGGACAAATCACAATTGGTTACGAAGATTTCTTAACTCTCGTCTTCTCCTTACGAATGTAAATAAGCTCACCTTAACAAGCTCTACTACTGCTGCTTCTATATTTAACTACGTATGTGTGATCGTCAAACAAATAATCCAGAAATTCAATCGTTTAATGTATCTGCGCATGTGTATCTGAAAACTACTTACACACTTCGAATAATTTCATTCTTATCAATTGAATTTGTTTTTGCGTGTTTTTTTTTCTTTTTCTTTATTACTTAGGCAACTCAATCGAAACTAAATGGAGTTCACTTGTCAAACTTTCGCCCTCTTTCTTCTTTGTTTTTCGTCGAAATTCTTGTGTCTAACGAATCTCAGTTACACGATTTCTTGAACAAATTTGTGACCATCAACTTCATTCCTCGAATAAAGTTACAAAAAGTTCGAAATATGAAAATAGTTCATCGATTAACAATAAAAGATGCGCCTCGTTGGGAGATGATGATTTTAACTACAAAGAAATCATCGTCTTATTAATTCATTTACCATAGCATTCGATCCGTCTGCACAGATTGAATTAGTTGTTTTGATCGACAGATAAAAGTCTGTCTTTCATCTTTCTTCCATTTGTCGATCTTGTTCGTTACAATTGACATTTTCATGGAGTATAGATGATGAAAGGTCACTCGATCTACACCTTGGCATCTGATGATCCGAATGTCTTATTCTCTCGTTTTTGTGTCATTTTAGATAATAATGACCATTTTCTAAGACAGTCGATGCGATTGATCGACCAGCAGGAGTACAGCTGAGAAAATAAGCGACTGATCATCGACTATATTAAGTTGAAGTCAAGGTGTTGAGAGAAAAAGACGAAAGTTCCATACTGTGCATAGCATATGTAACTTGATCACTTTCCGATGAAGAAGACGAACAAGATAAGTAAGCAAACTGGTCAATACCAGCAGGATCAAAAGCACAGCATGCCGATTAACGCACTCGACACCTTATCGCCACTAGCATACATTATGAATGATGCCACACATCATCATTCGTAGCGAAATGATCAAACATATTCGACGGATGTGCTATTGGATAAATCAAATAGACAAACGACGGAAAAGACCTATCCAATATACATCTGCTAAGTTAAAAGAATGTGTTTTTTCTCGAATCAGTTCGAAGGATGCTTGTTACACATGCAAACTAAACAAATCAAATATGAATATAAGACATTAACAAAACATCTGATCAAATTTACATTGATCTTCATTAAAAATTTCATCAGTATTCAGTAAATCATATCTGAACAGTTCCTCTTTCGATAGGTGATCAAATCCGTTTAATTAACAATTAAAAGCTTCGATTGTCCACTTCGTGTTGATTAGATAAAAACCACCCGTCGAAATTTAATTATCGTAATTTTATCTTTTACATTTGTGCGTACCCTTCTGGTTCGAATTAAAAACAAAAACGTCCTGACTCGTAATGAACCAATGAGTGTCTTCCGCATGATGAGCATAAATCCCTGTGGAGAGAGAGAGAACATGATGATAATGATGATGTTTAGAAAGGGAGGAAAATGAAGAACAGTAAACAAGTTTATCGTTCGTTGCAATATACACAAAATATGAGTATCGATGTGGGAATGATCAGCAACATCAGCAGACGTTTCTAATATCTTAAAATAACATAACGAAAAAATTTGTCTCGATATTCAATCTGTGCTTGCAATTTGTTATTTCTTATTTCACTTGATTAAATCGAAAGATTTTCGTTTGAATTCGATCATTTCTTTTACTTGAAATCTTATTCAATTGATGAGTTCGATGATTGGCTTGAGGCGTCAAGACACGGTGTATGCTTGCGCTTATCTTTTCCCGCGTATGTTTATTCAAATTAGCCCACCCAATTTTCCTGTTCATCGAATCAATGCGTTTGGTACTTTCGACAGTCCCGAGACATGTTAATGGAACAAGTTAAACAAACAATGTTGATTTCTTTCTCTTTCTGACGAGCTCTCCGCCTTAACCAATTTCTTGTGGAGAAACTATTTCTTTACTTAGCTTTCTCAATCGCATGGAAAGAACGAATGAGAACTCTTGTTGTTCTTTGTGGGGACATTTCATCATTGTGAGAAGTATGCAACTTTTGTTCTTTCAATTTCAAGTTCTTCACAAACAATCTGAAGCTAAACAATGAATTGTCACTGTTGAGAGAATAGTGCATTATGAGAATGACCAAGCGAGCACTCAACTTTCTGCATACCTTTTTTTTCTATAGATACATCGAAAGGGAGACGTACGTGCAATACCCGAGGGTCGATCGGCTGTTGCCCTAAATCAACAACCATTAAAACGACTACCTAGTCTATCACCGATTAAATTGATGCGTGAGAAACAGTTGGGAAGAGAAAAACGATGAACAAATGATCTTGTGTCGTTCCATTGTCAAAAAACGATGAAAAAATCATAATGATATCTAATTTTGACTCATCAATCAAACAGTTGCGATGGTCATTACCTTAAAATCAAAACAATTTACTATTGTAGAACCAACTGCTGTTCGGTTCTCATCGATCAATGATTGATTTGTTTCTAATAATGAGAATGTTTTGACATTCGATACGAAGAACAGATCGACTTCACGAATCCGAAACGAAACTTGCTATCTCGCACTCGAATGCTTACATAAGTTTTTAATCGAGATGTTGATAGGCAAGACATTCATCTCCGCTGAATTGAGCAAACATTTGGATTGCCAGTATTGTTGTCATTTCATTTGCACACAGTTAATCGAAAAGTCAAGAGCATTGTGCAAATGAAGAAAAAATATTATGTTCATCTCCTCGTTTCCAAGTGTCTATAGATGCAATGGATGAAGAAATTCTTAATCATAACACTTGCGAAAATAAGATTTACGATTAACGCACCCATCAACGTACTTAATGTTATTCTAAGCCTTGGCAAAAGAAAAGATTTACTTGTTTTGTTTCATCTCTGCTATTTGTCACACTCGATAGATATCACAAAGCCTTTCATTGATTGTCGGAGATGAAAGATGACACGTTGGTTCATTCTTCAACTAACTGACTTCTTGCCGTCTGCGCATTTTCACATAGATCACGAGAATTTACGGGACATACGTAATCGTCATGTAAGACGTATATACATCGATCCCGGATGTGCACTCAATCAAAAAACACTCGAAATTGGGCGTGGATATCTGTCAGTCAATTGATTTGTTTCAAGATTGTTTCTCTTTAGGCATCATTAGTTCACAGTTTGCTGCTTCCGTCGATGATCTGATTTAAATTAAAAAAGAAAATAATCGTAAACAATTTTTTGCTCGTTCAAGAAAAACGAAATCAAAGTTTTTACACGTACTTTGCCCGTCGTTAAATCAATTCAATATGTCGAGCGCATATGTTCAAACGTTCAATTAATAGAAAATTCATTTTCTTAAAAGGATATGTGTATGTGATCATCATCATCATCATAAGTTTCTCTTTCGAGATATGTTTATATAGACGCTTGATTCCTTTCTCTTCTTCTTCTTCTTCATGAGAAAGAAATATCAAAGGTGGTAGTCGTGTTAGATGCCATTCACAATCTTGCTAAATTAATTGTTTTCTTAACATTAACGATTCTCAACTACTACTACCATATGTGGGCGTTGTCGGCTCAATTATCTCTCATTCAATTGGATAAAAACGATCAATACTGATGTTCTTCTTCCTACCTGTATGCATGGATACATCGATTTCTAAATGAACATGACTAAAATTGGAATCTTTCTCATTTGATTTCTTCCATTCTTTTTTTTTTCTTTTTAAAGCTACCATAACTAACACTAACTAAGAATAATATTGATGATGTGAGTGTCTATATAGTTCTATACACACACACACGTACGCGAAGAAAAGAAAAACGGATGGAGGAAAATGCATTACACTCTGTTCTGTAAGTGTTTGAGAGAAAGGCATAAAAGAGAGGCTGGGATAACAAAGTCGATGGTTGCTTTTGCTATTGCTGCTATGAGACCTCGTCGTTGTCGTCGACGAATGTGTATTTATGTTACAAATCTGTATAAATATGTGCTTTGATCACAAAAAAAAACTAACCCATTAGGGTGAAAAGAAAGAGAAGCAGGCAGAAAGAGAAAGTGTGAGAAGCAGAAAGACACAAGTAGAATCTGAATGAAGTTTTACAATTGACCATGTTCAATCGATCAAATTTGCTCATCTATCTGCAACACGATTATCAATCGATGATGGCGCTATGCCTGCAAACTATTCGTCTCGAATATTTTGGCTCTGACTCGTCTGGTTGATAGTCATCTTAATAAAACAAGTGTATTTCAATGGAGATGGATATTCAACAGACACAATTTACAGTCAATGATGGAATGGAGAAGCGCGGCTCGTGCCACTTGATTTATTCATCTTTTCATCTTCAGTTTCGATGCCTTCAGGCTGACAAACGAAATGAAACCTTTTGTATAAATCATTTCGGAAAGAGCCAGATGAACACCTTCTGATGCTGACGATGGAAAATGTGTTTATACAAATATTATTCTAACTACGTCACTGATCTTAAATGGCCGCGTGACGATACTATTCGAAACATACACATGGACACTAATTGTGTCCATTGGGCACAAGCCGAGATTGATCAAGCGGCGCCGGAAGAACGGATTATCTGCGTGTGTCAAAGATCAATTTTCTATTTCATTTCGAAACGACAAAAAACTTCGAAATGTGTTTCTATTGGATTAAATCAATTGATTATTGTATCTTCTCCAGATGATTAGTTCACATGGGATTGAATTTCAAGTTAGAATCGAGAGAAAAACAAACACAACACATGGATCAGCGTTCCAATTAGTATGAACCACGAACGTTGATAACTGGTACGCAGATTGCGTCGTTTCTGTTTCTAACCTACATATACACAATAGGGAATGAAGGAGAAAAAAATTTTCTTCGCTTTCCCCCGTCTTGATCGACTCTTCGTCGTTCTAATACTGATGGATCGTACACAGCAGGAGTGTCATGCCGTCGTTTGTTTCTTGATTGCTACCAATTCATGTTCCAGTGTGCAACAGCAGGAATCTCACATCATCAATCTAGCATTGAAAACATATTTTATCATTTAGTGATTATTATAGAACTGGACGATCTAATGATCAATCAATTGAATGACATATTTAGTCAATCGTCGAGAAAACTCGATTGAATCTCTTGATAAATGAGTTCGAAGAACGAGTTGGAAATATTCGACGTAGTACCTATCTTTCTCCTTACTGCCATATGTGTATGTACATATTTTAATTGACTTATCAATAAATCATGTAGCAAAAACGACGAAAGTGCTTGATAAGCTCTCTTCCTTTCGTGCACACATTTTTTTCCCGGGCAGAACAGCCGTGACTTGTCAAAAGCAACAACAACATATACATACATATTCTTTCTCTCCTGGGCGACGAACGACTGGGAAGACGATTTCATTGGCCAAAAATTCTGATTCGTGTAAGATGCTGTGGCAGCATCGAGAAAAAGAAGAGAGAAAAAAAAAGAATGTCGCCCCGATAGCGATTGGCAGGAGAAGCAATACAATGGAAGAAGCAGAGAAGAAAAAGAGCGAGAGAGAAGCAGAGCGAGAGAGAGAGAAGAGAAAATCGACGCGAGAGCAAACCTACGATCATTGGAGTTGTTATTCTTATTACGACGAAAGAAAAAAATTGCTTGATGAGTAAGCATACGCTAGTAGCAGTCTCTTCGCGCTTCTCATATTATTTTTGATTATCGGGAAAGACTTATATTTGTTTAACCAAGAAAAAAATCTTCGTGTGTGTGCTTGTCCAAGGCTGTCAAAAAGAGAGAAAGAGAGAGTAATAAAAACAGTCGATCAAATCGTAATTCTTCTGTTTATTATTACGAAAAACATACGATTGTCTACGACATCACCCTCATCATCATCATCAACAACAACAACAACATCAACTTCAGCCAGCAGCAGAACAGGCCGATCTTTGTGTTACACACCGGCTAACCTCCCCTATTTGTTTTACTTGGCTCATACTTGCAATGTTATTCTTATTTTTGTTTTCTTCTTTGTGTTATTGAAACCACGAGTGATCTCTGTGATATTAACAACATCACCCTTATCGACATAAATATTAATTTATGTTATTTTTAATGTGCTAATACTCTACTTCTTTAACTCAATAAGTACAAGCAAACAACAACAACCACGATAAGAATAATAAATGACAAATCCAAGTTCACCACCGATCGCTTCATCTACCAATAACAATTCAACAACATCAACACTCTCATCGGCAAGTTTCGCAAATTACTACGATGCAAATACCGCTGCGGCGGCAGCAGCAGCCGCGGCAGCCGCTGCAGCCTACTATCCACCATTACCTCCACCGTCAGCAGGCAATCGTTTGGGACAACCTTCTTCTACATCTGTACAATCCTATGGTGTTCACCAGACAAATCCTTATACGGGTTATCCTGATGCCTATCACTTACTTTCACGACCACCAGCTGCATATCCGTATGCTATGTCATCAGTCAATTCTAAAGAATTAGCGAAACCTGCAATGAGCTATATCGCCCTGATAACAGCGGCTATTCAAAATAGTCCCGATCACAAATGTACTCTAAACGGTATTTATCAATATATTATGGACCAATATCCAGTGAGTATTGCATTGAAGAAGCTTTACAGATGAGAAAAGAAACAATACAATTGTCTTATATGTTATTTTAGTATTATCGAGAAAATAAACAAGGTTGGCAAAATTCAATTCGCCATAATCTATCGTTAAATGACTGTTTTGTTAAAGTTTCACGGGACGATAAACGACCAGGTTTGTTCGATATTCAAATTCCGACAACAAACACTTCTTTGTCATTTTCAATCTAGGCAAAGGATCGTATTGGATGCTACATCCTGATTCACACAATATGTTTGACAATGGTTCCTTTCTACGGCGACGTCGTCGTTTTAAACAAGAGTCATCTAATCATCTACATCGAAATCAACAATCTGCTGGTGGTAATGGAGGTCGACGAGGTCAATTACATCAGCGAAACTCACCAAGTCTAATCAGTCCAACATCGACAAGTAATTCTCTTGAATCACGACCGAATGGTACGAAATCGAATCGTTCTCGAAATCCCGGAACTAATTCAGTTGTCAAAGAGTCTTCACCGGATGATACCGATTGCCCCGAGTCATCACGAAAGGTAAAATAAATGTATTTTTTTCGAATTTGTCTTGAAACTTGGTAACTTTAGAAACTTACTGGTGGATATACAACTCCAAAAATGGAACCGGTGGAAGCAAGCGAATCAGGTGATCATCTTTCAACATATGGTCTACCATCGTCATCCAAAACCCCACCCATGTCAAATAGTTTACCAGGAGCAATACCAAACTTTAATTTTATCGATCCGATGACAATGGCAGCTGTTATTTACGAACAGACTGGTGGCACGTCATCGACTACATCAAATTCATCGAATTCATCGACAACATCATCGAGTAATTTTCATTGTACAGACTCCTTGCCAACTCCCAGTTCAGTCTCCTTAGCTGCTGCTGCCTATGCCGCTGCTTCTTCAAACTATCCATCATCGTCATTAAATGGAAATACAAAAACAACTCAGCTTCATCCCCATCATATTCATAACGGTAATAACACACCGCATCACAATGGTCAACATCTCTACTCACCCAACAACGACTATATTTCATCTTCTGTAAGCACATCGAATGGCTACTGGCCCTACTCGAGTCAAACATACTTTCCCAGCACAACAAGACAGTACATGGTCACTCAACCGCCTCCGTCATGTCCTATAACACCAACAGGAGTGTCTGACACATCTTCATCATCTTCCCAACAAGATCTATCCTATCATACACACGGATCATATCCACACATGCAGAAAATGGTTGGTAATTATCCAGCTAGTTATGAATTTTACCAGCAACATAACAATAAATACTGTTAAATAATGTCAATCTCTTGTTTTGTCTTCTTTTTCTTCATCTTCGTTTTCGACATGTAGATAGTGTTTTTTTCTTCATTGTGTGTGTTTATCAATGATCTCACTGGTATATTTCATCCTTTATTTTCAAAATGCGCTCCAATTTCTTGCTTTGTGATTATATTGTGTTTGTACGCGTGTGTGTATATGAATCAATAAGCAAAGACATAGGCATTTTCAAAATTTCATTCAAAAAACATCGTTTTCTTCTCTCTGACTTTTTGTCTATACATGACCAGTTTCTTTTTTCCAACTGCCAATACTAGTAGGAATATATATTCATGTGAAAATTGATAAATCACATCAAAATAAACTGTTGTTTATAGTTTATAGGACGGAATCGGATTTTCTTCTTCTGCATATCTGACCGAGACCTTCTCTAAATGCAGATGTTAGCCGTGATGAATTCGACACTGAGATATTGATTCTTTTTCGAATCAGATCGATAATATAAATAAATATTTATCCAAATAGTCAATTGACTCTTATCACTGATACATTATTGTTTGCCTGTAGGAGATCGTCTTCTCTAAAGATAGCAGAATAAGATCAGCGAGATGCTTCGAAAATGGAAACACTTAGAAACATTTGAATAAATATCTGATACCATTATCCGATGAAAATCTATCACAGTTATAAACAAGCTTTGGAAGCACATCAGTTGTCAGCATACACCTTTTGATGATGGTGTATCTCTTTCATCGTAAATGAAAACTAGTTTGTTTCAGTTGAACAAAATCTGTTGTTTTCCAATCAGATCATTGTCAAGTACATATAAAAGCAATGTAACCGTGTCAAGGTGACTGATATTGATTAGTTATCAACCATAATATTTTTCCATCGGTAGCATTGAAAGGAAAAAATATCGTCAAACGTTTTCATAACATTAAGTGATTTCACTCCCTGATATGCTCGAATTAATTTACAACTAAATCATAGAGAATATATATCCAAACAGTGTTGCCAACTTGGATTACAATGAACAAGAAAAAAAACGACAGAAATCGAGCACGGTCACACCTCCTGCATTATATTACACTTCCTGAAGGTGTAGTTAGTCATCTATACATCATTTTGAACATGATAGAAAGAAACTTTGAGAGATTCACATTTCGAGATGATCGTATCACTGTTCAATTGATCTCCATTATATCGGTCATTCGAAAATATGACATGAATAACGAACGCTGTACGGTGTGACTTCGTATTATGTGCATTCCCTCTTATATACCTAGAGACAAAGAGACAAAAACTGGTGAAGCGTAACGTTCGTCATCAACGTTAGAGCGTATCTTTTTCTCTCATGGACAATTTTTTTCTTTTCTTCTATATTTATACTCTGATCACAAATCATCTTCATAGTGACTATAAACGTGCACATTTTTGTGTTTAGATTAATAATTCTAAACAAAGACTTTCAGAATGAAGAGGTCAGTTTGGCAAGAAAATCAAAGTAAGAATATCGAAGCAATCTGATTTCAAATCAGTTGCGTCGATTTTTTTTCTTCATCTCTCGTTCGATATTCTGATAGTTTATCATTTTTTATTTGAGAGAGAGAGTAGATGCGTATGTTCTCGTCTGTCGCTAATGTGAATAACTTCATACAACGAGCAGCTGTTGCTCACGAATTTCTAAGTCTCCTCTGAACACAGAAGGACATTAGAAGCTCGAGTTCAAAGAAAGAGAAAAAAGTGAAAGAAAACGAAACGTTTGAAAGAACATACGAGAGATCGTGGTTCGGTTGATTGCGCAAAAAAGACCAGACAGTGAAGTAGGAAAAAAACTGAACACTAGTGATGACCCCAAGGTAACAGATGGTCTTTTTTTCCTCGCGAAGACAAAGAGAGAAAAGAAGAAAAACGACTTTTTCATTTTAACTATCAATCAAATTCGATTGTCGTTCTTTTTAGGATTCAAATGAAAAACATTACAAAGCAATAGAAGAGAAAGGAGAGTAGATCGTCATCATTTATTCATATTCATCGATTTATTTTTTCTTCTCTCATTTTCACTGACTTGTATCGTGTCACAGTTGTGTGTGTGTATTAGTCTTTCTTTTTTTCTCTATTGAGTCCTGTGCCAATTGACACCATTTGTTATTTTCTTAACTTTTCGATTTCTGGCGTTGTCGTCGTCGCGTCTTCTTCTTTTTTTTCCATTTTCCAATTCTTTTCTTTGTCTCTTCTTTCTCGATCCGTACATCTCTAATTTTTTCCTTCGCTTTCGAAACTGACTATTACGACGCTCTTAAACCTGAATTGTAAACGGATTCGCACGCATTCGCCGACCACGTTGCTGTCTGCAATGACGTCGTCGTCATCATCTTTACTGCCGTCGACAACAGCCGTGGTTCCAATAGCGAATGTCGAAACAAAATCAACGAAGAATAGACAATACCTTTGCTTACTTTCCGTAATTACTGCTGGACTATTGGATGAAGATATCGGCTCGGACGAACAGGAAATCATTGAAATTGTCAATCTTATTATCGATGTCGATCAGAAACAAGTTCGTTGGGTTCTTTTTCAAATTCGATCTTTTTAATTGAATGTTTATTAGAGAGTAGCAGTACATCGTCAATACGTCCGACCATCGTTGATAGAAAACTTAACTGATGAATCGAAACAAGCCAGTGGAGTTGATGAAAACCTGGTGTTTTCATCAGATATTGATCTTGACGGTGCATTGGTCAAAGTAAAGATCCTTTAGTTGTGACTGATGCTCGTTTTCAACTTGTTCATCTGTAGTTTGATAGATTTTTACGCGATCAATACTTACATCCAGATTTTAATGTTAATTTTACACTTGTTTGCGAGAATTGTCTTCACTTACGGCAGTGTCTTCATCCCGAAAGTGTGAAAAAATCGACCGTACCGCTACCAACTTACTATTGGTCATACTTTGATATGAGACATGAATTTGCACATATGTATACAACAACAGAACGTCCAGATTTGAAAATCATGCTTGAAAGTAAGACTCGTTTGATTTCTCGTCTCGAAAACGAATAGACAATCGCCTTGAAACGAGGATTTCCAAATAAAATAGATTTGAAGCTTAGATTGAAATATGATCTTTCATTTTATTCGAATACTAATTCATTTCTTTTGTTTAGAATTGTCTATTACTTCAGTTGATGAACCGGATTATTGTATGCGACATGCGAGAAATATGGAATTGATTGTCTACCAAATGCTCAAAGATGGTAGCTGAACTGTACCAAAAGAGTGTTTCTTTCATTCGCTTTCTTTTTTCACATAGGCTATCAGTTCAAAAAACCCGAATCTATAATGGTTCATTTGCAACAAGGCTTATGGTACATCACACAAAAATGATCTGTGTACTTCAATCTATCTTTGCTTTTGTTTTAGTTCGTTGGAGGATAACATTGAAGAAAGTACGGTTGTTCGAGCACGTGGTTTACCATGGCAATGTACCGATCAAGACGTAGCGAAGTTTTTTCGTGGCCTTGATATAGAAAAGTAGGTTATTTTCCCTTCACACAGCATCATGTTACCCTGACTGAGCGTCTGAATCCTATAGACTATAATATGCGATTATTTTCTTTGGAGAGCTCCGTACGAGGTGAAAGTAGTGGAAATTGAAATCTGTGATTACTTTAAAGTATCAAATAATGGTTCTACACTGTAATAGAATCATGAAAATCTCCTTGAAATTGAGTTATTTTTGTAACAGTAGAAGATTGTACTTAGGACGCTGAGAGCTGAACAGATTGATTCTTTCTAGGGGTGGTGTTGCTTTATGCCTAAGCAGCCAAGGCCGTCGTAATGGTGAAGCATTAGTTCGTTTTGTTACTGTTGAACATCGAGAATTAGCTCTTCGGCGACATAAACATCACATTGGCCAACGTTATATTGAAGTCTACAAAGCAACGGGACGAGATTTTCTCAATGTTGCTGGAGGTAAATACTGAATGAATTTTCTTTATTCGTTTTCTTTTTTGATCCATTTATTTAATTGACTTCGATTTCACTTTTTCGTCTTCTAAAACGATGTGAAATTTCTTTCTCAGGTATCACTCCCCATTGTGAAATGCTTCCAGTCAAGTGTTTCATGCATACGTATACTAAAGAAAGAATAAAACGAGTCGATGAAGAGAGAGAGAGAAACAGAAAGAAAAATCTGAGAGAAGAGCTTCCTCTTGTGAAAGCAAATATTATTTATTTGTTGTTGTTGGCTTAAACTACTGATCATCTGATATGTCACTTAGCTGTATATATGAGAAGGGAGAAAAGGTTTCATTCATTCTCTTATGGCCAGCATTCTTTTCTTTTTCTACTTCGAACTTCCGGGCGATCGAATTTGTTCTGTTTGACAAAAGGTCGTCAATCATTAGCGAATGACAACATTTCGATCTTAGTAGGTTATGCAAATAAGAGAAAGAGAGACACAGTGGACGGACATCTATATTTACTTGTGGATTTAAAAGATTCGCTGGCGAATAATCACGACTACTGCAATCCGAAATGATGAAGAAAAACACAAACGAACAGTTGGACTGTATACACCATAATCAGAGGACGTTCAGTTTGTGTCTTTGTCTATATGCCGGATGTCTCGGTAAACAGAGAAATATATATAGAAGACAACGACATTGATGAGTTCTTTTTGTGTTAAAGAAAAATATTGAAAGAATAAGCTAATCTTTTTCTTTCTATTCTGTTGTCAATCATTCTATCTATATCGAAGGTAAATAATTAGAAATCTTTTCGTTGTGTCGATGTTCTTCGACTAGTATCATCATCATCATCAAAAATAGAAAGGCAACAAACAGAAAGATTGAAAGGACAACAGTGAAGTAGGCTCGTATTCTTTTTCTTCTTTGTCGAAAGAAGAAGAGAAGAAGACGAGAGAGAGAGAGTGAGTGCACACTTGTCAGTCGTCATGCATATGTATGTGTGTTCAAGCTACTAATATGTCTGTCAACCAAACGACAACAACGAAAATTTATCGTTCTTACTACTGCTGTCGATGCTTGTCAGACGTGTTAAATACTTTACTACTTCGATCCGATGTTCTTTCTTCATCATTCGCTCTCTCTCTCTCTCTCTCTCTCTCTTTCTCTTTAATCGAAAGTGGTGGTAAATAATTGACGCCGGTAAGGTGTCCCTCTCGCATTCTTCTTCTTAAACGTTGTGCACAAAAAAGAAGAAGAAAAGAAATCACGTCACACACAAACACGCGCAACAAACTCTCTAAGGTTTTACTCTACTCTCATATACACTCACACATCAGTACTTCACTGTTCAATGTAAAAATCGCTCATCGACATAGCAATACATACTATCATGGGCAATACAAAGGGCGTGTCCTACAACGGCAATCTATATTATCATTATTTGAATTATCTGAAAAGTTCGTATCCATACTTCAGAGTAGATTTCATTTTCACTGTTCTCTTGCATCTGTTTTGAATACCGATCCAGTTAGTACGCCCACATAACAAAGAAACTGTTTGCATTGTCAGTCATTCCATTTCATTTCGTTTTTTCTTTCCGTCTTAATACTCTCCATAACGTTAAGTTCCACATTGTCGTCTAGTAGACAAAGAGAAGTTATTCCGTAAATCAATTATTTTAATTCGATAGACATATATATTATAAGATGCAGTACTTTGGTAAGACTACGAGCAAAGATCATCATTGTTCTTTTTCTTATCGTAGGATCGAACTCCGAAGCTCAAGCATTCTTACAGCGTGATGGTCAGGTCATTATTCGCATGCGTGGTTTACCATTCGATGCAACAGCTCGAGATGTGGTGAGTATCCGAATCATGCATGTTCAGCTATCTGTGCTTCAGTGGTGTAGTAAATGAAATCTTCTTTAAAAAAAAAAGGAATAATGGTTCAATGTGAATGACTTTTCTAACAAACACAAACAAATTTGAATGTTTTCTATCTCGGGCAATGTTAAAGTTTACAATACGTATATTTCTATTGCAGATAAAAAGTCGAGTCGATGATGAAATAGAAAATACAGGTATTGCAGTAAAACAAAACATAATAATACAGCGTTATATTGTAAAAAATCTATGCACGCGGGGATATCTTACCATTATTCATTGTTTTTTCTCAATCTCTTGCGGGCAGCGGGAAGGTTATAGTAAAAAATTGATACTACCGAACTTTTTTCTCTTCTATCGCATTTGTTTGTGTGTGTGTATGTGTGAAGGGATATAGCAGCTGTTTAAAACACTGAGTGTTGGGAGCACGACATACTGAAAATAAAGCTCAACCGGGATAAGATTACGCGATGGGATAGGGTGCAGACTTGCGTGACTTGTTGTACAGATGGGGAAATGGGCGCATCTATGGGCGAAATGTATACGTGTATGTGAGATGCTTTAACAAACAACACAACAACTTGGGAATTGGACGGTTGATGGTCATATAAATACACACACGTATATATATATATATATATATGTGTGTGTGTGTGTGTGAATACAATTTAATAATAAATAATAAATTATATTTAATGCCAGAAGGAGACGCCTATTGGGACAGAGCGACATTGTTTGTTTTCATTCTAGAGAATATATAATAGTAGTTAAAGAAAAGAAGTCGATTGTCGTTTAAGTTTCATTAATATTATAGCGTTGAATTTATCTCATGTGCTTTTCTTTTATCGAAGTTATTGTTCCTCTTATTTGACATTGAGTAATGTTATTAAAAAAGGAGAGAATAAGAAAAGTATTTTCATGAAATTTCTTTCTTTGAACAAAAGAAGACCACACAGACCTTGTAGACAAACGTTGTTTGTTCTGGCACTATTTGTAAAGTAGATTTGATTGGATAGTAAATAGGAGCTAAAAAGAAGCGAATCTTGAGCTTTGCTCTTTGTTAGATTGGAGCGCACAAAATCCAAATCATATCTGATTCGAATTTTTTGCATCTCAATTCTGTATGGTTATTTTCATCATATTTAGATCGAATTTTTCACACGTGAAAATACACCAACGCATGTTGTTGACGGTGAAGAAGGCGTACTATTTGTTCACTATCCTGATGGACGAAGCACAGGTGATGCTTTTGTCATGGTCAAAACAGAAGATGAAGCAACTGAAGCGTTGCATAAACACAAAGAAATTATGGGCACGCGATATATTGAACTTTTCCGTAGTACAACAGCGGAAGTACAACAAGTGAGTTCTTCCGTTGGTTTTTATGAGGAAGAATCGATTTGATCGTGTTTTATCATCAGGTATTTCGCCGAAGTCAAGATCCGAAAAATTTTCAAACATCATTGAAAGACATTCCGTTTGCACCGTTACCAATCTTACCACCGGAAATGTTAACAGGTGGGAATAAAAAAGATTGTATTCGTGTTCGAAATCTACCTGTCGAATGTGGTATTGAACAAATTCTTGAGTTTCTCGGCGTTCATTCACAACATATAGTAAGAAAGCGTTTTATCTTCCTCATGCGAAAACTAGACATTTCACCATTTCTTATGCAGGTAGCCCAAGGTGTTCACATGGTTTACAATGCACATGTAAGTTTATTTATTTGGATTGGATTGACTTTATTATCGTGTGTATTTAGGGTCAACCATCGGGCGAAGCGTTTATTCAAATGGATTCGGAAGCAGCTTCATTCAATGCTGCTACACATAAAAACAACAAATATATGTTTTTTAATGGTAAAAAGAAGTACATCGAAATCCTTCAATGTTCAGGCGAGGATATGAATCATATTCTACTTGGTCTTGTTCCGTCAAACCTAATCCCACACAATGTACAACGTCAACCAATGTATTCTCCTCATCGAGGTACTTCTATCCTATGACAATAAATGAATGCAGATAACTCTATTTTTTGATTAGCTGCACCACTTGTACCAATCTCAACAATTCCACCACAAATGCTGCCACCAAACATGCCAATCTCCATTGCTGCTCCTCCGCCTTCTCAAACAGCGACTGTATCTAATGGATCTCTTGCACCTCCACAACCAACAACAGCATCTGCTTCAACAGTGACGGCACCAATGACAACAGCTACCATGAATGGACTTCATCCAAATGCCACTTACTATCCTATGCAAGTCTTTTACTACCCAACACCACCCATATCTCCATCGATCTACTTACAAACTGGACACATGCATCCTGGATCTGTTACACTTGTGCTACGAGGTATGTTCTCATAGAAATCCGTTAAAAAAAGTATCTGATTTCTTTTCTCTTTAGGAGACAATGGTCAATACTGATGATACTATACATATACATATACATATATAAATAAAGTTCACTAAGTCGTCTTTCGTCTAAATATATTCCACAGACAATGCAGTGAAGAATTTTTCTTTTTTGTTCTTTTTTGTCTATGCAAGTTAAAGTGTACTTTGCTTTATACAAAAAAAATGATGAGTTCTATACATTTTCCGTTTTCCAAATCGGCAGTGACTGACCTGTTGTTGTTGTTGTTCTTTTTCTTTCTTGTTTCACTTTTGTTTTTTACTCACATCTTCATTACAATTATGCATCTTCCATTGTACTCTTTTCATTTCGCTGTTCCAGTTCTTCACATTCTTTAAATTATTAACAATTCTTATGTTTCACTTTCTTGGCATAAATACTAGCATTTCATCGAATATTTCTCCATAGGAAAAGTGTGTAACATATCTCGTACGATAGAAATAAGCAGAGTAGTAACTCTTAAAAGTTGTTCGACAATACTAACTCTTTGAAACGAATGTCGATTGAATCACAAGGAAGCCGTGAAAATTGCCAGTTGAACAAACAATTTGACTTTGAAAATTTGTTTCAATGATACGTGCACATCTGAACTACTGCGCCCCCTTCGTTACATATAAAATTGCGTAAATTTGACATGATGGGGAGACCAGCCAATCGGTATTTTATCGACTATCTTACTTACTCTCGTTCTTTTTCTCGCTTCCTTCTCCTCTCCGGCTCACATGAGAGAGAATAACTACTGATACAAACATATCCACTACACTAGTTGTATTCAAATAACCTACATGGACGACAGGTCAACTGTGTCCACACCTCGAGCGAATCGTGAAGGAAGACCATTACGTCGCCGTGGTGTTTCGTTTAATGTTTTACCATTGCGCGACGAACCACCACCAGTAGCACCGTCTCCAACACCAATTCTCGTTGATTATGCATCGATTCACGAGCGTACACAACTAAATCTAAGTAATTTTCTTCATTCCGATAATCCAATCACTTTTCTACTATTCACATTTTGGCGTACTATCTGTTTATTTGGCCAATTGTTTATTCTTCCATTTATGATCATCAAATATCTCTATTTACTCATGTTAAAAGTTTATGGTGTACGCCGTGCAACGAAATCTACGACTACAAGTGATCTTTTTTCTATCTCGTCATCGTCTCAAAGCTCCGCATCACAACAAAAACCTATTGTTTGGATCTTAACAGTGATTGATTACATTATTATTCAAATATCGAGATTACCCGAACACGCTCGACATCTGATCAATTCGATACGGAAACACATCGACGGGACGGTTTCAAAGTCTTTCAATCTGATTGATTCGTGTACGAGTCACCAACTGACAAGAACGTACTCGATGTTTAAACGTTTATTATGGGAAAAATCCACAGATTTCCATTCGAAAACAATGAAATAATGATGATGGTTCTTAGTCTCATCTTTATTTTCGTCTTTTTCTTGTTATGATTTGACTGAAGAACACGTTCTGTTCTTTGATTTCCTTTGTATCTTTGTGTGCATCTTTTTTTGTATCAAAAAGTAACCTTATGAAAATAAACATTGCCTTTATTTTTCTCAAATCGTTTGTATCAATGTTTTCGTTGGACTTGTCGCACCAATAAATAACCGTGCCGAACTCCATTCATTCATTAGACGGTCAAGTTCATGCGCACTATCGGAGCTAATCTGCGTTTTCTCTTGAATTTTCTTTGGAAAATGAGCTTGTGAAGCAAGGTACAAAGGCAATAGTGATATTAATGTTAAGTAATCATGTTCGATTAATTTCTTTTGATCGGATGTTGATAAACCCATAACTGAAGTAATCGGTTTGCAACAGAGATGATTGTCATGAATGTTAGTTTGGGTTATTTCTTCTCTGAAATATAGATTCGAGGAAAGGAAGAAAGATTTATGATATACTAACGAATCGTGCATTTGTGGTAGGGAACGGAAGATGTTTGGATCGGGAAAAGGACTTTGATTGTGTACCATTCGTTTCTTAGTTGGTTTCGCTGGTGCTGTTTTTCGTTTGGTTGACTTTCGTCTTTGAAGCGAGTGGTTCGATTGTTTTCTCTTAGGATTAACTGTAGGAAAAAGGTAATGAATAGGGGATCGTAGTTTGCGCGTACCTGTCGAATTCGATTTCGTCACAATCGTCTGAAATTCCTTTTGACTTGTATGATCAGTCGCATTGACATTCTGCTGGTCGATTTGGAGTGATGATAATGGTGGCTCTAATGCATCGTTTGTTTGGTTATATGAAGCACCTGGTGAGAGTGAAGATTGTTCGCTATTACATGGCGTTGGGGAACTTTGATGTTTGATTGCAATAGAACGAGATCGATTGCGAATAACCGATCGAGCTGTAATTGTTGGTAATTTTCGTTTCTTCTTCTTAGATTTAAGTCGTTGAACAAGAGATTTTCTAAATGTTTGAAATTTACTCATGTGCTGGGTTTCCACCACGGTTGAATTATTTTTCTGCTGTTTTTGACTCGTCAATGTCGCTTTCGCGCGTTTGGTTCGATACCATAATGCATTCGATGAATTCGATAGAATCATCATTCTATATTTCACAGGATCATGCTCACAAAAGCATGGCAAAAGTCCATAGGTTTTCGATAATAATGACACAGTTGCTTTCATCGTATGATTGGAAACAGACTTTCGTAATCTCTCTCGTCGTCGGCGCGCAACTACTTTACGATTAGATGCTCGTGGCATTGGATAGGTAAACAGAAGTATTGAAGAAAATATTTTATATGTAAAAAAAATAATTATATTTGTTGTATTTTCGCGCCCACTTAGAAATGGAGAACAATATCATGCCTTGAAAAAGAAAACAAAACTGAAAATATCACAGTACCAGTTGAACAAGTTTTAATAGCATATCTTTGGGTAAGAGATGCATTTCATCACTTTTGTAAACTTCCTGTCGATGTCTTTGGACAAATCCAACGCAATAGTCAATCACATCGGTGAGAATAAGTGTAGGATTTCCTTCGGCATCAATTGGTGAACAGGCGGACAGATAGATTTTCAGTACGTTCCGGGAATTAACTAATTTCTTGATGAAGCCAAATGCGTCGTCATAGATCGGACTGAGATAATACTCATCGGCTTTGCGCATTAATTCTAGATAAACTTCGTAGTTCAATGTTGAATCAATGGTTTCTGTGTAAGTATAATTCAAAATTTGATAAAATGCATCGTAAGAGATGTTTCCTATTGGAATAGGTGTTTCAGTATTCGTTCCATGTTCATCAAATAGTAATGAGAAATAATGACAACGAGTACGAAGGAGATTTCGATACGCTGATATAGTTTGTCCACCGTCGAGCTGAAAAACGACATCAGCGAGACAATCATCTTTCAGAAATTGTTTAAGATTCATAATTAATTCTCGGTGGGCAATATCGTGATACGATGAATGTCCAATTAGTTTGACACAATCGATTTCACACCAACTACCAGCAGCAGTGCAGTTGACTTCCAAACGAATTTGATTGATACCATAGCTTATTTTATTTGAACATGGAATGGAAAATATACGAGCTAGAAGGAGAGTGTGCTCAGATATTCATACCATCCATTTACACTTACATCTAGCCTCAACGTGAGGGCTATTGACTTGCCAGATTGTTTCCCAATCCGCGTTCGGGTGACCTTATGATTTGAAATAAGAATTTAAATGGAGATTGAGGTGTTGAAATCTTACCACCATTACGTACACCGACTTTAACAACTGCACCTGCATTGTAGGTTTCGTAAATGTCAATCTGTTCGGGATTGACAGCTCGTGAAAATTCGATGACGATAAATTCATTATTCGCTCGATTTCCTTGAGCCCAAGCACCATTCAAATCACCTAGACAAATCACTTTTCAATCTCATACATTTGATCTTCTTATTTACCATATCGTGGGTAGACTTTCGGTGGTCCAATGATTTGATGAGCAGCCCACGTATCATTATTATACTGCGATGAATAATCTACAACGCGCGATACCCCTTCGAAACAAAGAATAAATATCAACACGAGCTCAAATAAAAATTTTACATTGCTCTTCTCGTGCCCCAATTGCTTGAGCCATTGCAATACGTTGAGCAAGTTTTCTTTCGAATGAAATTTCAATTTAATAATGTACACGATGACTCCAATCAGTCGCAGTACACCTTGGTCGTATGACCGTACGAACTAACTGTCAAAAAATGAGAGAAATAATGAATAGGTGATTCGTTTAAGATGAAAAAAAATCAGAAATTTCTCGTTTTGTTTTCGTTCTCGAACAGTCGGCAACTTCTTTCGCGTTGATCTACTCAGTTATTGCACAATTATAACATTTATTGCGGTGCTCTATTTGCTGCTGCAATTCGTCTTCTTCGCTTTTCTACCCCAAGAAACCTACAAGTCTAAACAACATGCTGTCTAGTGAAGTATAATATACAGACAGAAACGGAAAAGTATTTGTCATTTGTTGTTGTTTTTTATGAAATATTAGATGTCGCTTGTTTCCTGACGATGAATCGACGAGAAAATTTATGATTGATAGATGAGAAGAACCGATCGGAGAGGATGATGAAATAAAATGAAAAAGAATAAGAATCTTCTCGTTCTGGTGTGTATTCGTGCAGTTCTTCCTAGTACAAAAAAAACTACAGGTACTTACATTTCAAAGCAATTCGGAAAAAAAATTACATGGCTACTAGCAAGGGAAGTACTGTTTCGGGGTCGACAACCGAGGTAGAATAACTCAATTCAGCAAGATTTTTCTTCTGAAACAATGAAAATTCTCTTCTAGAAATCTTCTTCTTTACAAGCCGAAATCCTTTTGTATTTGAGCACTAATAATGAATTGAATACATGGTCATATGCGAAAGAACGTGGACTTGACCATCAACTTGTCGTTGGTACCATTCGTAGTATTGAATCGTTGGGAGATGTAAGTAAAATAATCCTTAAACTGTGTCATTTTTCTAATTATGATTGATCACATTCTCTTTTATTGCGGTAGGTCATCAAAAGCGAACAACACACCTCACGATCAATAGGATTGACCGATGAAGCCAAAGGATTATTACGCGATGGAAGTTATGAATACAATATCTTTCAAGCTATTCCTGCAGACAAAGGCATTGAACAACCTCAGTTGATGGTAAAGTCAATCTCGTAGTTTCCTCTATGAAATTTCGAAAAAATTAGTTTATCAGTCGAAGAGCGACTGTTATTGAGTTCGAATCTACCTTCGGTCGTTTTGAATTTTAGAAACTACCCAATGCCAATATTGGTTTCGCTAAAGCTATGTCCAAAGGTTGGCTACAAGTTGATAAATCATCAAAACCGCCGATGGTGAAACGCAAGGTAAACGAGTTGCTAATGTGGATGATGAGATTAAAAGAAACTGATATCTCTATGATTCATCAGGATTTCTATCTTGATGCGGTTATCTGACACATTCTAAACTCGTTCATATTTTTCTTATGTTTGTTTTAGGTCGATACAGTTCAAGATGAAGTGCAACATTTACTCCAACGTATTCATTCATTGGAGTTGACTGATTCCAGTGCAGAAGAAGTTGTCGAGTTGAAAAAACGAAAATTGGTTGAGGACGTGTAAGATTTCATTTGTTTTTTTTCCTATTGATATTTATGTTCCGTTTGATAGTACGATAAACTATTTTACTGTGACAAAATCTGCTGGATTTTCAACGAATATTTCCAAGCCTGAAGCTGATTTAACATCGGAGATGTTGCAAAGGTAATGGTAAAAGTTCGATTTTTCTCCACTATATGGTATATATTTCAGTGGTTCATGGAAAACGGTCAATTTCAAGCCGAAAAACTTTCATGCCAAAGGCTTACTCCCATCGTATGGATGTTTACATCCGTTACTGAAAGTTCGTACTGAATATCGACAAATCTTTCTTGAGATGGGGTTAGTCGTATTTGTGTTCGATGATTGAAAAGAAATTCTTCGATTCTTTCTAGTTTTACTGAAATGCCAACGAATAATTTCGTTGAGAATAGCTTCTGGAACTTCGATGCACTTTTCACTCCACAGAAACATCCAGCACGCGATGTTCAAGATACATTCTTCCTGTCCGATCCAGCAGTAACAACGAAATTTCCCGAAGAATACCTTCAAAAAGTCAAAGAAGTTCATGCCACCGGTGCATTTGGTTCAATTGGTTATCAATACGACTGGCAACTTGACGAGACACAGAAAAATGTGCTACGAACACATACAACTGCTGTTAGTACACGAATGCTCTATCAATTAGCACAAGAAGTAAATAATGCGAAGTATTTTCATTGGATGATCATGCATTGTGATTTTTATACATTAGAAAACATTCCGACCGGCAAAATATTTCTCAATTGACAAAGTCTTTCGCAATGAAAACCTTGATTCGACTCATTTAGCCGAATTTAATCAAATTGAAGGTCTAATTGCAGATTACAACTTAACATTAGGAGATTTAATCGGTGTTCTCTACCAATTCTTTCGTAAACTTGGTAAAATGAATTTTCCTAATGTTCTTTAATTGTCTAATGTCAACATTTGAATAGGCATGACAAAACTTCGTTTCAAACCGGCTTATAATCCATATACGGAACCATCCATGGAAATTTTCAGTTATCATGAGGGTAATGCCTACTATTTCCTTTGAAATGCAAAACAGAACGTTTATTTTCAACTAGGTTTACAAAGATGGATTGAAGTCGGAAATTCAGGAATGTTCAGACCTGAAATGTTGCTTCCTATGGGCTTTTCAGAAGATGTTTCAGTCATTGCCTGGGGTCTCTCTCTCGAACGGTAAGTGAATTTCTGCGGTTCGAATCGTGACTAGATCTTGTTCTATTGAAGACCAACAATGATTCTATATGGAATAAACAACATTCGAGATTTGGTTGGACCTGAAGTTGACTTGAAAATGTGTCGACGAAATCCGATTTGCCGTGTGATTCCTGCAAAAAGTGAAGAATGAAACACCGTTTTTGATGATATCTTCATTTTATCATAAAGCTTTTCAGTGAAATTTCTCTTGTTTATTTTCATTAACTTAAAGAAAAATAAACAAAACTAAACATGTTTTCATCCCTATTTCAGATGTACCAAGTTCGAGGAGGAAAATTGAATTTAAAAGGCGTCGATGGTAATGATTCGCATTCGAAAAAACGAAAAAAGCATTCGTCGTCGTCTTCATCTTCGAAAAAACACAAACAAGTCGTCGACAACGAGGAAGATGATGGTGAACAAGATTACGTTCAGTAAGTCACTACTGCTACAATTGAACCAAAATATGAACTTTTCTTGTAGACATGGCGGCTGGTGGAAAGTAAAGAAATTCCATGAAATTAACGGCAATGTGGCGATTGAATTCGGCACAAATAGCTACGCCCATTCATTAGACAATGGATTGTTTTGTGTTGGCCCTACTCGACCGTTCGGCGAAGGTCCTGATCAACAGCAGATTCTCACAGTTATACGTATATCCGAGAACAAAGTGGCATTCAAGTCTGGATTTGGTAAATATTTAGCGATTAATAAAAATGGATTAGTCATCGGTCGATCAGGTAAGAAACAATGGAAAGAATGACGATAAAACACTAATTTGGTATTTCAGAGGCTATTGGAATGCGCGAACATTTTGAACCTGTTTTCGAAAATGGCAATTTGGCATTATCCGCATGTAATGATAAATTCATTCGTTTCAATGAAGAAGGCGATCTTGTCGCGATGGATGATCGAGCAACGGAGGCGAATTTTATCAATATACGCTCTAATGCGAAGCAAATCCGAGAGAAAGAACAACGACAAAAAGAATTGCCTGTGGAAGAACAAGGTTCACTTCGTGACACGGAATTGAATTATGTGAAGAAATTTCAGAAATTTCAAGATAAAAAGTTACGGATCAATCAAGGTGACATCAAAGAGTTGGCTGATGCGAAAAAAGCAGGCGCACTACATGAAGCTCTTCTCGATCGTCGTGAAAAGATGAAAGCTGATCGTTATTGTAAATAAATCTAGACTAAAGTTCATATGTGTGTCGTGGTACTTCATTCTGTCTAGTACGAATAAATTTAACCGCCAATGAAGTTGTTCTTATATATTGCCAAATGATTTATTCGTTTTTTACGATTGAAAAAACAACAGAAAACGAAATATAATTCAAAAGGAGCTTGTGCCAATCAGTTTTCTTCGATTTTCCATTTCTTCGGCGAGATACACAGAGAAAGGATTTCTTTGTACAATGATGATGATGATGAATATGCCGAATTTTCATTGACATCTTTGTTTTTTCTTACTTCATTGGATGAAATCAAACACAAAACAGAAAAATAATACATGTAACGAGAATGAGTGAGGAGTTTCTTTTCTTTTCAACAGAACTAAAACAAATTTTCAGATAACAGACGAGTTTTATTGGGAATGAGGAGCAGAGTGATGGTTAGGACGTTGTTGAACTTGTGTTTCGTGATTTTTCTCCCGAATAAATGCGATGAAGGCTGATTTTGTCAACGTGTCACTACGACCATTGAAATCCCAATAGAAACTATTTTCCAGAGTTGATCTAAAGCATTGTTCGATAAAGTACCACACATTTCTCAAATGATTCATTCAATTACCTTAAGGACGCGACATGAGAAGAATCATGCGGATGTTCAAAGACAGACGTTCGTTTGGTATGATCATGGAAATATTTCTGTTGTGTTGATTTACTCAGTAAAATTGTCCACGGATCTAAATGAAAAGCAAAGAATCCAAGGGTAAGGCATTTTCCAACTCTTACGTTGAACGAATTTGAAGATCCACAAACCACGCACCGGTACATGTGGTCGATTTTCCACTTCTGTATTGGTAAAATATAATCTTTCAGAGTCGATGTGGTCCAATGTACCAGATAGGCATAATCTACATAGAAAATCATTGCGGAAGGATTTGCTATTGTTCGATGAACATACTTTTGAAGTTGATTATCCATTTGTTCCAAACGAAATTGTTCGCTGATCCGAATAGGTGCAAGATCGTTGCGAACTGGTTTGTTAATTGCTTTTTCGAAGATTTTCAGCGTGCGATAACTGAGAAACAAAAAAATCTTGAATTTTTCCAAATTCATCAATGTTACCGATCCATGAGTATCACTGGTCTGCCGTTTTGAATGAGCATATTTTGGTCTCCGATAAAATACGCGTCGATAACGTAGATCGTTGCTTTCGGACGATTACTTCTAGTCTAAAATAATCTTGAAATGTTCAACAGGACAAATGTAAACTTTGTCTTACATCATTCGCGTGCTCTTCGACGCGCTCAGCAAGTAACAACGTATGCGCTGGTAGTTCAATTTTGAATTTAGGTCCTAGTCGTTCCCACGATTTGTTCGGTGACCTCAAGTCCATAACAAAAACTAAGTCTCGCTGAAACAGTTTATGTGGTCGAATACAAAACTGGGTGATACATTTAAATGAAACTTACACCACAGGACAAGAGTAAGACCGGATCACCTAATGAAAGTACACATCGGTAATCAAATAAGGATTGGATTCGTTGTGCTTCAAGTACGGAGCTTTTCAGAGGATTCGGCAGATTTACAATGATACTTTCCATACCACTATCAAGCTAAAAAGACGAAAAATCGTTTGCCTCATGCAGAGAGAAAAGAGAAACTCTGAATTACTTGGTAGAAAAGATTATTTTTTACGTCAACCAGCTGGAGATCTCTTGGTCTTTGTCGCGGTTCATCGGGTAGCTTAAAAACTGCTTTACTTTTTTGTTTCACGTGACAGAATTATTTACCTGCCAGTATTGAAGACATTGTGAACGGATTTCGTGCTGACGCATGTCTTGCAATGCTGCATTACTTGCAAAAGCACGAATTTTCTTCAAATTTCGTATTTGATTCAAACCCATTCTGAAAAAAATTAAAATCCTATTCTTTCTATTAACTATACATTAGCAATTTCTTTACTGATCATTGGAATTTCGAATGTATTCACAAAATCTTTCGTTTTCTTTCAAGATGTTCATTGGAACAATCGATTGAACATCATTCGGCTCCGATTCATTTGAATATTTATTCTGTAGCAGGTTAATCTCATACAAATATGGACGAACAATATCCCGAACACTACCACGAAGACTTTTGCAAATGATATATCTGAAATCAAACCAGAACAGGTTGGTTAAACGAAACATCGATCGATCGTCTTCTCACCGTTCTGAATTTGCAGGTCGACTAGTCACTGGTTTATGTAAAGATACATGATGAAATGTTCGGTACATTAAGTAGATAAGTCCAACACTGAATGGAGTAAATATATCGAATAATTTACAGACGAAATGACCACCTGAGTACGAATACTAAAATTCACGTCATTCAAAACGAAATCGGTTCGTACCTGGCCGCAGAATTGTCAAAGCCGTTAGAAATTGACATAGATATAATTGTTTGCTCAAAATTTCCTGAATATTTTCTTGTCCTTCAACGGAAAATCCCTAGGAAATAACAAACAAGCAGACGATCAATCCTAACACTCCCAATCGAAATCTCTTACACCATCAGCCATCATAATATGTACACCGCGATTCATTGTACATTTATTTACATAACTTTGTAGAGCATCAATGTTTTCCGGTGTGTATATATTTCCATCACCACTGAGACCATTGACACCGTAGTATGTATCGAAGGTTTCAGGTGTACCAGCAATAAACTTTCGCAGTTTGAAATCGTCCTTGCCTTTCAAAGTGAAACCGAAGCCTGCGAAAGAAAATTTAGAGACGTGTATACACGAATTCATAGATTATTCAACAATACCTCGTGAATACCATTGTTTTCGCCATAAAACGTATTCACTAAAACCACCGGGGCCAGCACAGACATCCGCAAAATATAAAGGCTCGTCAGAATTGATCAACGATCGCTAAATGATAAGATTACTTATAGAAAGTAAATGAACACGAAGTCAAATTACTTGATTATCTGGTGTTCGAGGATCTGTGAACATTCGATGAAATACATGATCGATATTGGCCATCTTAACAGCCGCTCTGTAATAACATTGAAAAATAATGAAATACGATGCGATTATGTTACCGATTCTGGAAAATTGAACCTCCGATCGTTTCATAGACATTACTACGTGCGCGCGCATCTTCCATTTCTTTTTGTGCTAAATTGTCAAAAACAGTCTAGAATACAGTAAATATATGATTATCAAATTTTGGTTAGTTCGAATTACAAATAAAACGATTTACCTTTGCAGAGAGCATATCTTCAAGAATTTCTCCATCGCAAAATTCCACTTCATCGTCAATGACTTTCTTTTTCTAAAATTAAAATTCACGAATTTAATCATCAAAATTCATATTTATACCGGTCCGATTTCAACCCATTGACGTATTTCCTCAAGATTGAGAGGATCTTCTGTATGTTCACTAGGAGGACACCAATGAACTTCTTCCTCAACGGGAGCCTAAGGGTCAAATTGAAAGAAAGCAAAGATAGCTGGAGAGAATGTTCGTATGAAGATATTTACGGGATCTGTATCGAAATCCCACTCAGCGGCTTCATCGTTGAACCCTTCGACAGTATAACCGAGACCACGATGACCTTTTTGTTTACTCTCTTCAACGATTTGTGTTGGGCCTTGAGCATTACGACCAAGACCACGTGTTTTGTCAAAACCCATTTTTGCCTAGAAGAAGTAAATCAATCGATTGTATTTTACATACTGATTCAAATACAAAATATTGTTTACCATCATTTTCAAAGCTTTAGATTGATTGTCCGTCGATGGCGGGGGTGTTGGCAAAGCAGGTGATAGGTTATTTTTCGGTTTCTTCTCAGGTGTTTGCATGAAATTTGTTGGTGTGGACACTCCTCGCTTACATCCGATATCAACGTCTTTTGCGTTTTGATGATTAGGATTGTACATCATCGATGAATGATCTACTGTTGCCATTGCAAACTGACCATTAGTACTGAAAGACGTCGTAGAATCTAAGCCATCAACTGGATTCCATATGCGTGAAGAAGCGGATGAAGATGATTGATTTGAATGTGACGTTGGTGCACATAACGGTGGAAACATCGTAGAATTCGACTTGTCCGATGCATTAGAATCATTACTGGTCAAAGATCGGTTCTCTATACAATAAAAACAATGGCTTCGTTCTTACTGATGTTCTAAGCTGCAGTCAAGAGTGTGCAAATTTACTTTTATTTGGTGATTTCGAAGATAATTGCTGGTTATCTTCGTCGGCTTTTCGTTTTTTGATCGTCGACATCTGAAAGAAAATATCAAGTTTTATTTAATTATCACAAACATGTTTTCTTGCTTAGAAAAACCATTCACTCAAAATAATACAATGAAAAAGAAAACAAAATTTCTCGAATAAACTTGTAACCTACGAAAATAGAAACTTTCTCCGATAGGAATTCAATCATTGGTTTCGGATAAACAAAGTTGATTAAAAAATTAGATAAAAAACTATCTTTCACATTGTTTCATCTTCATAAAACTCATTGTCATCCATGATCATCATATTACTAGGGTAACCGGGGACAAAATGTCCGCGCGATTTACCCTTCATCTTTGATGGGCGACCGGCTGTTGATGCTGATGCATCTCGAACGACGAGATTAGCTTTCATTATTGCCGAACGAAGTAAAAGTGCAGCAGTAATCTTTTCTGATCGTTTAGTCACATTTAAGGCATGCTGATATGCATGCCAACGCTGATCGGTATCGGCAACGTAGAGAATCTTGTTTTTCGAATCAATCCGTGCTTTAATCTTTTCCAAACGAATCAAATGAACAAGTTCGTCTTCGAGAACATTGACCGTGGTGTTCAATTTCATCGCCATAGCGTTCATATCAGCATTTTTATATGGAAGAAAATAGGTGATAATAATTCTATGGCGAATTTCATCGTATAACGAAGATAAATGTCGGGCAAGATATTGATCCAACGCAAAGACTGGTTCTTGTCGAGACATGTTAGTTAACACAGATGAATACGATGTCTGATAGAAATCCAAGATAATATCACGAATTGCCGGTTCCAATTCCAGGTATTGTTTCATGTTGGATGACATTATAATCAAACGATGAACTTCCGATCGTTCTAATGTTGCTAAACTACATAAACACACGTATCGAATCAGAGTTTGGGGTGAAATAAGATCCTGTTTCGAATGAGATTCATTTTCAATCCGGTTTACGTTTGAAAAACAGATCTTACTTGGAATTTGTTCGCACAGTGATCAAATGAAACAGCTAGAAAGTGTCGGGCAGCTAATTTATATCTTCCAGTGGCCAATTCAGCAATACCAGCATAAACTTTCAGGCGCGATGCTATTTCTGCTTCGGATAGGTCTGCTGATGAACTGCTTGATGTTGTTGCCGAAGGCGCTGCAGCTGATTTCGTTGTTGTTTCTAAACTTTCGAGAGCTTGTTCAGCTTTAGTAACGTATGATAGAACATTCGTCCAGTTTTGCATGAAAAACGATGCTTTGATCACGTTCATACACATTGTAATCACATGTCGCGGTGAAACACAATAATCTCTTGAACTTACATAACAACGTACAGCACTATGAAAGTCTCCCGCTCCGAGATAATGATCACCAAGATCGTCATTACCACGACGGATGGAATCTTTGATTGAATTAGTACGAAAATTTCGTAGATCTGTATCGAGTTTTTCTAGTTTTTGAACATAGCCACGCTGAGTTCGTTCCAACCATGATTCATCAAAATCAGCTGGCAATTCAATATTTTCCTTCTTGATTTCTTGCAGAACCTAAATAAAACAAGATTCCATCGTTCGAAGCAAATAACAAAAAACAATTGTAGCAAACATACTTGTTTGTATACATTAGTAGCGGATGTTTCTTTCAAATAATGTAAACTTGTTAATAAGGCCTCACTACGTAACGCTGGACAATGTTCTGCAACGTATAATAGACGAAAAATTCGAAGTAATCCAGTGTATGATAATGTAATTGTTTCGAGATCGAACCCAGTTTCTGATACGTCGACTTGATAAGCTCCTTCGTACTTTGATGATTTATTTCCAGTCGAAGATTTTGAAGAACTAGAATTGTTATTTTCGCTCATTGTCGAGACACTTTCCATGATATTTCTATCTGAAAGAAACGAAAAAGATGTAAAAGTAAAAGATGTTATTCAATTGATTGTTGAAGCCATGGCTTAATGATATCGATTAGCTTCTTTTCTGTATCTTTGAAGCAATGATCAGCGTCGGGTACGATGACCATCTCTGTTTTTTTTGTCTTTGCCAACTGTTCATTGAATAAATATATGTCATCGCCGGGCATAACATCATCTTGATCACCCCAAATATTTAATACTCGAGCATGGCGAATTTGATCGATTTTGTCGATATCAAGATTTTTCCGACGTTCAATACCTTGCTTTGTTATCCGAAAATCTCCACTCTCTAAAGTATGGATAACAAACGAACCGTTTCGATCAAGTTCATCTAATTGCTTTTTAGAGAATCGATCGTTAATGCCACGCTCAAGTCGATAACGACCTGCGACGTTGACGATCAATGGAATATCATCAAAATACAGTGCATAAAGTAATACAGTTGTACCCGCTCGTGAATGGCCTACAAGTGCTCGCACAAAATATTTGTTATTTTGACTTCGCAAGTATTCGACAATTGATCGAAGATCATCCTTTGCCTCATCTTCATAGCCTCCGTAATCCCATTCTTCTCGTCCAGTTGATTCTCCACAGCCATGAAAATCGAATCGAACTGAGTGAAACTGTTTCACGCTGGAATCTGATAGACCGCGAGATAGTTCAGGAAGGAAAGCGGCGTTTTTATTCGCCAAGTAGCCATGACAAAGAATCACGACATGTTCACGATTTTGATCGTCAACGTAAGGCGAAGTTTTTCGATGAAATATGCACGATAATTTATGATTGAAACGTGGTGAAATCACTGTGAATCGTTCTTCGATATAATCAGTCATTCTGAAACAAAGATGAAATCTTCGAATTAGGATGTTTTTTTCACTTTTTCGATAAGTATCACGAGCAACTGTAAGAAAATAAATGAGTACAGCTCTTGCTAATATATACCAATTGGTTAGTAATTTCATCACCGTACAGTTTGTTACAGCAAACAAAAGAGGGCGCTATAGATCAGTGTCTAACATGTTTTTGGCATATATATCTTCTACTTCCTTCTCTTCGTGACGCATGCTCGTTCGAATTTGTAATGAAAGCTCATTAATACAAAAAGGATGAACAGCTGTATTTTCAAATAAAACATAAAAATACATTCCTTAAAAATGACTTTGTGTGACTTTCTACAGAAGGTTACAAAATGTGAGCGATAGGAAAGAATACTGGGAAGCTCTCGCATTTGTTACACCGGGTGACATATACGCTTTCATTTCGTGAAGAAAACTAAGATAATCAGCGATGGGTAATAGTGTATGATATCTTTCATTCAATTCGAATTTTAGTGATTGATACATGGACTCCCGATTGCTAAGACACATTTCATACAGTTGCAAAAGACGATGGCCATCGATATGTGGAAAGAGGAGGAGAAATGTATTGCTAAGTCCATTTCGCTGGAAAAATAACTTGACATGATCACACGTCCATTCAGTGATACATTTAGGCAGCGCACTACAAAAGATTCTGGAATTTTAATTTACAAACAGCTGAAGAAAAACTTACACAATCGATTGATAAGACGTATCAGATGATTCGGAATACGTCACTGTTGGCTCAGTTGAATCTTTATCTTCTGGTTTTACAGGTGACACGATGAGATCATGATGCTCTTGTTCGTTAATTTCATTCTTTAATTTTTCATAAGCCAAATGAAATTCTACATTTCCAAAATCAACGTAGATTTTTCCACTGACAATAATTCCGAGCCAACCATCTGGTTTATAATTTGGTTCGATTACGATCGGAATTAGTCGACATCCTCGTTCAAATGCATAATGTGCCTCTGAATGGCAATAGACACTTTGTTTATATGTGTTTGACATACAAATAAGTACATGTTTGGAATTTTCGATCGCATTCGCAATACCGACCATTGTAGATCCGCGTAGACAATCCCGATCGAACCAGACCTGGAATCCATCTTTGACAAGTTGTTCGTGAATTTGCAGACATATCTGTTGATCTTTATGGGAATAGCTGATCATAATATCGTATTTGTATAAATTGGCTATCGATGGTTTCGCCACTGCTTTTTCTTCTTCTTCTAACTTCCAGAGGAGACCTTCGGCTGCACGTTGCAAGCCTGATTTGTCGGGATCGGTATTGAGAGTAAGAGCTCGAATATGATCGATGAAACTTTGATTCTGCCGGAGAAACGAGCACGCCTCAGTATTGAACGAAAGAGCAAGAAGCATCTCCAATGAGATCTGTTGAACTTTAATCGGATCATATTGAGTTTCAACAACACATTTGACTAGAAGTGGAAGTGCTTTCAGTTCGATCAATTCTGTTTTTACTTGATCATGTTGCACAAAATCTACAACGAAGATTGAGTGAGACGATGATTTGTAGGAAAAAAAGACAAGTTTTACTTTTTAAACTTTTTAGAAGACTATGAAATCGTTCCTTTTGATACGGATCATCGATTGTATTCGTAATAAAATCAATATATACACTGGCAATTTGACTTGGATTTGTCATTGTTTTGATATCAGCTTCCGTCATTATTTTGCCCAAACAACGGTAAGCATTGACTTGTATTTCATCATCTTCAATATCGGTCACTTTCAAAAGCATCGGAATCAAGTTCGGCATCGTTTTCATGTAATTCAAAACGTTTAAATGCAGTGTGAAATTATACAAATTTTTAATAATGATTCGTGTACTATCCTTGACACTGATTTCATCGGGAAAACACGGCAATGTTGTTGACAAAATCAACGACCAATGTGCAACTAATTTACAATAGTCATGGTAAAATTCCTCACTAAATATATGGACGTTTTCGGATTCGACCGGACGAACGAGAAAATAGTTTAAATGTCGAATCATTCGCCCGATATGTTGTGTACAAGTTATGTAAGCTTGAGGCGGACAGTTGGTGAACCATTGAGTAAATTCATTTAACAAGACTCTTAAAATACGACCGTAGTTCTCCGGATCTTCATACTCAAAATACCATTGTAGATAGAATGGCAACGTATCGAGAAATAATGCTTGAGGATCAGTAAGTTTTTGAGTAAAATTATGTTTCAAAGTTTTGATCATACGGACAGCATAGGAGGAACAAAGACACTGAATAACAGAATTCAGTATGGGCAGAAGTAATGTATATTCATCGCCAATGATTGTATGTCTTAGATAATTCTTATATGTTAATAATAACGATTTAATTGAACGAAGAAGCGTAATATTTGTTAAATGTTGACCGTACGTACCGATCTCGTGAAGGCAATTTGCTAATTCATCGATCAATGGTTGATGAAAGAGTAAATGATGAAATTCGCTGACATTATCTTCATTCATTTTATGAATAACATTCATAAATAAGACGGAAACTAACTGGGTATGTTTGTGTGTAGTGTGCGTTCCGGTTTGCCGCTGACGAAATTGCGCAATGATGGCATCGTCACGTAGAATAAGAAAAAGTTCATGTGCAATCAAAGTCGACTCGGCAAACGCGTTTGTCTTGTATGGGAGATTGATTAGTGGAGAAATTATGTGTTCGATGATGGCGGATTTCGATTCAGGATCATTGGTCTCTTTGAGAAGCGAAGCGAACGCATCGAATGTTGCTCTTAGTTGCTCAACAGTCATATCGGCAGCATGGGCTCGAAGAGTGGAGCAATGCGCATCAAGTGAAGTAGTAGTCATTGTTGATTGTATCATTAGATAGATGTTTATTTGAAACCGATTAGTTAGAAACCCAACAAACTATCTCTTTCATACTCGAATCTAAAACAAACAGAGTATCAACTGACTGATGAGGCTAAGCATCTGCCGAGCGCGTATGCTAGTTTGTGAAAGAATGGCAGTGCGTGAGGGCAAGAAAGAAATAGTTCTATTCTGACAAGTTGAATGTGGTTGCTTGCAAAACACTTTAAGTAGCAGAAAGAAATGCAAAGAATTTCCTCTTGACTCTTTCTGTAACACCGAAACGGCTGGTTAATTAACACCACGAGCATCTATTATTCTCTCTTTTTAGTGTCTATCAAAAAACAATTCACAGGTATGTGTGTGTGTGTATATATAAATAATAAATATCACTATATACCGTTAGCAACGACCACATCAATTTAACCATTCGTTTTTCCACACAGAGAAAACAATTATGTGATTTGCTACTCGTTTAGACCAATCAGCAACCAATACGAATGTTGTGTTGTGTCGTATTGCGAATAAGACAATATTCAAAAAAATACGCTGCCAACAAGATTCTTTCAAAAGGTTAATTTCGTTTATCAATTCTGTGATCAATCTCATGGTCTATGCTCACCTTAGCCGTACGGTTTAAAGCCTCTTCTTCTTCTTCTTCTTATCCCCATTATTTAACCCGTTATTTACTTTCCTATGGTTCAATCTTACCCAATACTCGGCAATTTCACTCGAATGAAAAAAAACCGAATGAGTCATACCTAACTCATTTCCTAATCAATCTTCATTCATGGAAATTAACACATCAACCACGAGAACCACGTTTACACTGGAGTTCACGTTTCCGTCAGCCGAAAGTACAAACTGAAGACGCTGAAAACGATCAAAGCAGCGAATATTGGGATTCTTGGTTTAAACAGCACCAATCATCTTCACTTCTACCCTTTTCTCAACAGGCAACTTCCTTATCATTAGATCGGATTTATTTCCTCGATCAATCCCAAACCATCTCAATGCCTAAACGATCACGAGATTTGCAATCACCTGAAGTTGAAATTCCTCGAAAGCGAGATAAATATTCTCAATGTAAGTTCCATAACGGATCATATTCAGTTGTTTTTATACTTATTTTTAGTGGATTTTCATTTACCAAAACGAACATGGTCGAATACGACTTACCAAGCACATTTGGAGAAAAGTCGTTATCATCACTTTAATTTTCACCTAGTTAATTATAATATTCTTGCACAAAAATTAATTGAAGATAATCCGTCGTTGTATGCGGATTGCCTCGACCAAGATCTTCATTGGCATCGACGCAAAGAACGTTTGTTAAGAGAATTATTAAAACAAGATGCTGATGTACGTTATTTTTCACGCTATTTCTAGAAGCAGCTATGCTTTGCTTGATTTTTAGATTATCTGTCTTCAAGAAATGCAAAGAGAACATTACAAACATGATTTCCGACCGAAAATGATGGATCATGGTAAATCCACGTTTGTTGAAATAAGCTTTCATTATCTATTGTTGTGTTCAAGGATATAATTCAATCTATATCAAACGCTCCGGCGATAAATCAGACGGCTGCTGTTTATTCTATCGAACCGATCGATTAAAAGTAGTTGAAAGCAAAACAGTGCCATTTTATCAGAGAAATATCCCACTTTTAGACAGGTAAATTTCAGCTGTTTGATCTTTTCTATTCAGTTTTCATCATTTGTCTAGAGATAATTGTGGTTTAATTGCTCTGTTTCAACCAGTGTCATCGAAAGCAACTTCAGATGATCTATTTTGTGTTGCTACTACTCATTTGCTTTTCTCACCGAAACGTGGAGATATTAAATTAGCTCAGCTGCAATATTTTCTTGCGGAAATCGATCAATTTGCAATGAAAACAGCTTCACTGAATTCGTATTATCCAATCATTATCTGTGGTGACTTCAATGCCCAACCACACTCACCGTTATCGAAATTCTTGATCAATGGACATATTAAATATGATACATTTCGTTCCATTGAAATATCCGGTCAAATTCCTCAATCGATTGTACAAAATCGTTTTTCCCTACAACTTCCATCTAGAGAATTGGTGCCGAGTGCATTTGTTACATCCGAATGTCGTTTTCCTCGACAGAGTTCTTCTCAAACAACAGACTCAATCATTTACGAGCAGTACATCAGTCGAAGATCATCGGCAACTTTAACTCACAATAAGCAATTCCATTCAGTTTATGATTTAGAGAACACAGCCGATGTGACGACATGTATTGACAATGAATATAATTTGGTCGATTATATTTTTTACACGAAACAAGATAATGATCGGTATCGATTGAACTTAATCAGTCGATATGATTTGTATCAGCAGCAACAAATGAGTAACTTGTATTTACCGAACCATCAATTTCCATCGGATCATTTTCCCTTAGCAGCGAAATTCGCATTGAAATTAAAAAAGAAAAAGAAAATAAATTGACTCGACTAATTCTGTTTTTTTTGTATTTTATTGTGTAACTTATAAAGATAAGATTAGAAAAATGCTAACGTTTGTTTTTCATGCCATTTATAGATGACTGGTGTTGAGCTATTTACTGAAAAATGTCGAGATCTATTAGAGCTGGAACGAGAAGAGGAAATAAATCAATCAACGTGAGATTATGATTGTGAATTTCTTCAAAATGTAGAACAATATATTTTTAGGGAAGCATTGAAAGGTCAATCGACAAAACGTCTTGCTGAACGAGGTTTCTGCCTGACACGTCTTCGTTTTCAGTATACATACACGGGTCTCTACGGACGAACGATCCTTGTTTTCGAAGGCGAATCTCTTTCACGTGCACAAACGTTTGGACCGGGTTTGTCTTCTATGTTTCGTTTGAATATTCATCATTTTCTCTTCATTACAGGTGATATAGCTGCTATTTATCAACAGGGACACTCAATTGATGAACAAGCAGCATTAGCGCGTGGTTTGATATTTCGTTTAACAACGAATACAATTCATATAACGATTGAAGACAATGATGATGAACAATTCAATTCACTAAGTGATACTTGCCTTTTTATGATTATTAAAATGGCGAATGATGTGACATATCGACGATTGAGACAGTAAGTTGAAAAGGAGATATGAACATTCAAAGTTTCCCCTGTTAGCTGTCTGGATTTAATGATTAAACGGCGCCAAGGCATTGCGTATCATCTTCTTGATATTGCATTTGATAATGGTGAGCCCATTCCATCGAATTTCTCCCAAAACGCTGGTCCATCACAATGGTTCAATGAGAATCTTGATGAATCTCAACGTGACGCTGTAAATTTCGCTCTGTCATCCCGTGACATCTCGATTATTCATGGGCCACCTGGCACTGGTATCGTCTAGAATTTATTTAATTGTTCTGATATAAATCGACTCTTCTAGGCAAAACAACGACGATCGTGGAATATATCTTACAAGAAGCGTTGAAACGTGATGCAAAAATTCTCTGTTGTGCACCGTCGAATATTGCAGTGGATAACCTTGTCGAGCGTTTGGGAAGGAAAAAACAATTGAAATTGATACGTCTTGGTCATCCTGCACGTTTGTTGGAATCAATCCAACGTTTTTCGTTGGAATCAATTGTAACAGAAAATTATCAGGATGTCAAGAATGCAATACGTGAAGATTTAAATCAATGTTTTGTAAGAGATTTTATTGATTTTGTACGGAGCTTTGAGTATTTATTTGTATTGTTCAATAGACCAAATTACGAAAATCAACCGATCGTGGAGAACGTGAGCGTTTGAAAAAAGAGATAAAAAATCTGCGAAAAGATATTCGAGTTTACGAAGAAAAAGCGAGTCGAGAAGCTATGCAATCAGTTAACGTCATTCTCTGTACATTAACATCGGCAACTGATGATAGTCCATTGAAATTATTACCACCGAACCACTTCGATTTGGTTGTCATCGATGAATGTTCACAAGTATATTTTCGAAATGAAATTCTTCTTCATTCGTCGTATGTTCTAGGCACTTGAAGTTGCCTGTTGGCTTGCACTGCTTCGTGCACCACGCTGCGTATTAGCTGGTGATCATTTGCAGTTACCACCGACGATCTTGAGTGACAAGGCTGCTAAGGAGGGTTTAGCTATAACATTAATGCAGCGATTAATTGAACAATTTGGCGATAAAGTACGTAGGACATGATTTGATTGAAACACACAAAAGGTTTGCTAAGAAAAGAGTTGAAGTAGATTACTCGAATGTTAACGATTCAATATCGTATGAATGAAGCCATCATGCAGTGGTCATCCAATGAATTCTATCAAGGAAAATTAGTGGCTGATAAATCTGTTCAGTCACATCTTTTGAAGGATTTGGAGAATATTTCCAAACGTAATCACGAAGATGAACTTGATGATGAAAACCTTTCCCATTGTCCGCTGTTTCTCATCGATACAACTGGTTATGATATGCCGGAAATCTGTCTCGACGATGAAAATTCTCGTGGAAATGAAGGCGAAGTTGCTCTTGTCAGCACTCATGTAAAAGAATTGATTGATAACTACGGTGTATCTGTTGATCAAATCGGTGTGATAACGCCGTACAACATGCAAGTTCAATTGTTGCGTCAGAAATTGTTAGGAACATACCCAATGTTAGAAATCAAATCTGTTGACGGATTTCAAGGACGAGAAAAAGAAGTGATTATTATCTCTATGGTCCGATCGAATCAACGAGGTGAGCGAGAAGGAATTAATGACGAAATAATAATGAGTTTGAATTTTTGTCCTTCGTTTAGGCGAAGTGGGATTTCTTTCGGATTCTCGTCGAATTAATGTTGCTATAACTCGTGCACGTCGACATCTGTGTGTTGTATGCAATGTTCAAACAGTTAGTCATGATCCGTTTATGAAACGATTAATTGATTATATGCTAAACAATGGAGAAGTTCGATCTGCTTTTGAATTAGTCGATGGTATTTTATTGATATCTTACGTTAAAAGTAACTGTCTTTCTTCGTTGTATAGACAATAATTTTTTCCAAGCAACGATTTCATCGAAAAAATCAACAACAACAACAACATCATCGTCTTCAAAACAGCCGAAACAGCAAACAAAGAAGCCGAAGTAAATTAACCATCATATTTGCTCCCATTGTTTGTATTATTTGGCATATTTTTCTTAGACAACAATATCCGCCAAAACCTCGATCGGAAGCAACGAATACTCTCGAAAACGTACTGACAAATATTCTCGATCTACGCATTGACGCTTTCCTCAAAGATCCCAACGCTCAACAGTTGCAGTTCGAAGACGGCCTATCATCGTTCGGGAGACATTATGTTCATGAAGTACGCGAGTAGACTGATTCTGGGACTAATTTGTAGTCAACACATTTTGTTTCAGTTAGCAGAAAAATATGATCTTCAACATATTAGTGAAGGTACGGGCGAACAGCGGCATATTACGGTTATGAAGAAAGTTTCGAATGATACTGCGACACAACGGAAAGTAAAGAAAGAGGAAAAGATAGAAGAACAAGAACAAGAAGAAATGACAACGCAGTTTCGTTCATTTTCCGTATTGGATGATGAAAATGATAAGAAACATTCCAAATCAGTAATTCCTAAAAAAGCAACGTCAACGACAATAACGAAAGAAGAACAGAAACAAGAAATATCATCTGAAGAGATTAGTTTGTCAGAAAAGGTAAAACCACCAAATCGTTATCCACAAATTTCATTTCGACGATCATTTTTCAGACAGCGTCACCTGTGCTGACTTCAACTAATCTCTGTCGTTTTTGCCGAAAAGATATTCCACCACAAAATCTTCAATTGCACGAAGTCTATTGTCAACGAATGCACCCATCATCGTCCGTGTCCACGACAACAAATTCAGCATCTGTATGAATGAACTTTTGTACTCGGAAAAATAAGAACACATTTCTGTAGGAGACTTCCTCATCTAAATTAAATGTTGCACCTGAACGTCCAAAAACTGTGAAGAAAAAAACAAGCAAATTAGAATCAATGAATACCGAAGCATCGTTCGATGAACTACTGGAAGCCGCTCGTCAGCAAGACAACGTTTGCAACGCACAACGATGTAAAATCAAAATCAGTTTATTAGGACAACTTTGTTCGTATTGTAATCGTCGTTATTGTTTTGAACATTCGATGCCTGAAGTTCACGGCTGCGGCCATCAAGCACGCACAGACATGCGACAAACGCATATCTCAACACATAGCAATGTTCGACCTGTCTATGAAAATTCGACAATAAGCAAAGATAAACGACCATATTTAGAAAGAAAATTGCAGGAGAAAATCAATTCAAAAGAAACTCAACGAAAGAAAAAATGAGATTTACTTCGTTATTGTTCTTTTTTATTTCGTTTTTTATTTTATACAAATAAAATTGTAAACATACATAGGCCACTACAATGATGGAAAAAATCTTGTTTGACTCAAACGAGTGTGCCTTCGTTTTTCTTCTCGAACATGTTTCGTTCTATCAGTATTTTTACTGCTTGTGACAATTTCTGATCAAAGTGGACATTTATGTACGTGTATATCAGATACGAAGAATTATTATGAGAGCAAAGCAAAGGACAAAACAGCATCCATTTAACGGGACCGTCACACCCATCCTAAGGTTTATTTTCAACATCGTACCTCAATCATCAATTTGACTTCCGCTCTCGACAGCAATACAAGCAAAATCTTATGCCTCTTCCTCATCTCAGCTTTCACATACACCGTAACTCTATATTTGTGATGTTGACACTTCTCAGTGTGCTTTTGGCTTTTGGAAGGGTTGCAATGGATGGAAAACCTATGAGAGGAAGTTTCTTAGCGTTAACTGAGACAAAAATCACATAGATGAAAATTTTACACAAGTACCCCATTCTTCACACTTGTAAATGGTGTCAGCCCTCTCTAATCCGTCCTCTGGTCCAGAAAATCGTCGTAAAAAGTTTCGTGGTACTTAGTTATCATTCCCTTTTCTGAAAGAAAGGGTTATAGAGACATAAATACAGTCATGAAAATGCATAAAGTTTGTTTGTTTGCATAATCCAATCAGATTGCAGCATATTATAAATCAATGAAATTTATCTATAGTGATCAAAGATTGACCACTGATCGGGTGACCGAGGTTGAGGATTACGAATCTGAGGGTACGTTTTTGAAATTACAATTACCTAGTTAGCTAATTACTAAGTAAAGAATGAAACTCTTTTTGGCTGTCGAGTAAGGGTTGACCGAAGGGTAACCGAGGTCGAGGATCTCGAATCCGATGTTAGTTTTTCTGTAGAAAAAGTACGAGTTTTTGCAAGGAAGATTTTTTGTAGGCGATAGTGTTTGAAGCAGTAATATGTAGAACAAAACGAAATAGCTGATTAACGTCCGTCTGCTGGATACTCATACTCATCACAGCATATTGATAACATTACAATTATATAAACAGCTATATTACACAAACATTATCTGATGCTAACCACTCGAAATAATACTTCCTCTATCAAATGTCGTTTTGGATAGTCACAATGGCACAACATTGGTGATTCTTTAACAGGGAACGAAAGGAAATGGTTTGATTGAATTTGAAGAAGATTTTAAACTAGATGAAAGAATGAAAGTTGGACATGTAACGGCTAGCCGCGAGTGGCCGATTGGAGGCAGACCAACGAGCGACCAGGCGTTTATTTGGGTGGCTTAGAAGAGATAAAATAAGTGTAAGTAAATTGATTTTTGATTGTAAATAGTGGGAAGAGAGTCGATTAGTAAATCTTTAGAAACAGTGTTCTTTTCCCAGATCGAACAATCCCATACTCGGATCCCATCGGATCCAGCATCGGATTTTTTTACTTCGGCTTACTTACATCTTTGGACAAATGAATTGAAAGCAGTTTGACATGAATAAGGTAGAAAAGGATTAAAAGAAAAAGAATTTGCATAAAAGTGGCTTTAATTCGAAGCGGATTAGAATGAGATATACGTTAGAATTTTTATCTGAGTCTTGTAGTTCTTTCAGAAAAGGTTCAGCGAATCCAACAGATGAGCGCAACCTGTAGATATACATCTATTTATATTCGAACTGAGATTAGTCTATCAGATGTCCGCTTATAATATAAGTCGAATTAGGCAACTCATGACTTTTTCGTAGCCCAACAATCGTATCTAAAGTAATGAGACAATTATAAGAACGAGACGTTTAGATTATCAAACTTGAAATTGTAATCATTTTTGACGGCATTTTCAATTTCATCATCCTCATTTATAAATAGTACTACGTTTACGTGTTGTTTGCTATTGAATTATGGAAGTTTCAAAAGCTTGGTGCGTGTAATTCGTGATCAGAGCATGAGCTGCCTAATATAACTTCGAATGCACATGAATACTCGACTGTTGTTGATCACTTCAAAAGTAAGTTAGAAAGATGAGAATTGTACTTTCAAAATGTATTAGAACTGAATGCAGTTCTAATCTCGTACATGTATAGAATTATGTTTTCCTTGAGAAATAATTTTATACTTCGATTTGCGTTTAAAATCTGCATTTATATTCGACTGAAACTGGAGAAGCTGCTGATTCAGCTGAGAATTTCTCTGTTCGATTTTTGTTTGACTATATGCATGAAGCTGTATTAACAAACCACAGTGTTTTGGCGACTTTACGCTCTATTCACGAGTTTTTAAAATCAAAATGCCGTTATTTTTCTTTTTCGTCTTCTACTGTCGTCAGAGATTCATTTTGAGAGTAAGAATGTTTGTCTAGGAAGAAGAAGGAATGTTTTTTCCAAGTTCCATAAAACGTGAAGGAGCACATTACTTTTATCGTTCTCTACCAAACAACCATTTCTCACATCTTACAATAACTACCTTATAAATAATCCAATCTCACAGTAATGGCAAATCAGAAACAAGGCAGTTTGGATATGTTCGAGCAGACATCACCAGCCACCTTTCAACAAGCAAATGAATTTAATCGTATAAAAATTGAAGAGACGCAAGATATATCTGTCATTTGGCTTGACACTCACATTCACAGCAGTAATCCAGATTATCAAAATGCAATCACACATCTTCAATACATTGTCAATGATATTTATACATTCACCGATAATGATGAATGTATCGATTTTATTCTCACTCTCACCGACACAGATGTTTGTTTGATCACGTCAGGATCAGTTGGACAACGTCTTGTACCTTGTGTACATGATATTTCAAACATCGATTCGATCTTCATTTTCTGTGATGACCAAAATCGACACGAACAATGGGCGAAAAACTGGTGCAAAGTGAAGAGTGTTTCCATTGATATTATACATATTTGTGAACAATTAAAGAAAATCATTCGTCGATATGAACTCACTGCTATTCCTATGAGTTTTGTACAACCTGACAAACGATTAGATCGACTAGAGCCATCATTTATGTACACAAAGATCATCAAAGAAATACTTTTAACAATCCAATTTAAGGATAAACATATCAAACAGTTCGTCAAGTATTGCTGTGATAATTTCGTTGATACTGAAGTGGATCGAAAGAAAGTGAAACAACTGGAAGACGAATATTATCAGCACACACCTATTTGGTGGTATACAACACAAAGATTTATATACAGTATGCTGAATCGTGCATTACGAGTGATGGACGGTGAAGTGATCACATTGATGGGCTTTTTCATCAGTGACCTTCATCGACATATTGAAGAATTGCACAAGCAGCAGTTTGGTGATGCATCACCTACTGCTAAAAGCTTTCCAGTTTACCGTGGTCAAGGTTTAATGGAGAAAGATTTTGATCAATTGATGGCAACGAAGGGTGGGCTGATGTCATTCAATAATTTCCTGTCTACCAGTGAGAATCGCGACGTTTCTCTTATCTTTACCCCAGGAAATCGAAAGAACCGTGATGTGATCAGTGTTCTATTTGTGATCACAATAGATCCAAAGCAATCAACAACGTCATTTGCCTCGGTTCGTCACATCAGTCAGTTTCCCGCAGAAGAAGAGGTACTGTTTTCGATGCACAGTATCTTTCGCATAAGGGATGTTAAGCCCATGGATGGGAACGAGAAAGTGTATGAAGTGGCGTTGTCATTGACGAGTGACAATGACAAAGAATTGATGGTACTTACTGAACAGATTCGAAAAGAAAGCTTTCCAAATACAGAGGGGTGGTCACGACTAAGTCTAGTACTCGCTGACATAGGACAGTCAGACATTGCTGAACGAATCTGTCGAGTTCTGATTGATGAAGCGCCTTCTGAAGACTCTGAAAGCCATGTCTATAATGGCCTGGGTAACATTAAATGCCAGAAAGGGCAATATGAGGAGGCAATAACACTTTTTCGAAAATCTCTTGAACTTCTCTTGATGTCGTCTTCTCCAAATCATCCAGATGTGGCTTCATTCCACAACAACATCGGTACAGCGTATTCTGACATGGGTGATTATCCCAAGGCACTTTCATCATATGAACAGGCTCTCAAAATTCAACTACAATCACTTCCTCCCAATCACCCACATTTGGCTTCATCCTACAACAACATCGGTAATGCGTATTCTCACATGGGCGATTATCCCATGGCACTTTTATCATATGAACAAGCTCTCAAAATTAAACTACAATCACTTCCTCCCAATCATCCAGATGTGGCTTCATCCTACAACAACATCGGTAATGCGTATTCTGACATGGGTGATTATCCCAAGGCACTTTCATCATATGAACAAGCTCTCAAAATTAAACTACAATCACTTCCTCCCAATCATCCACATGTGGCTTCATCCTACAACAACATCGGTGGTGCGTATCGCAACATGGGTAATTATTCCAAGGCACTTTCATCATATGAACAAGCTCTCAAAATACGAGAACTATCACTTCCTCCCAATCATCCAGATGTGGCTTCATCCTACAACAACATCGGTAATGCGTATTCTGACATGGGTGATTATTCCAAGGCACTTTCATCATATGAACAAGCTCTCAAAATTCAACTACAATCACTTCCTCCCAATCATCCTAGTGTGGCTAAATCCTACAGCAATATCGGTATTGCGTATTACAACATGGGTGATTATCCCAAGGCACTTTCATCATATGAGCAAGCTCTCAAAATTAAACTACAATCACTTCCTCCCAATCATCCTAGTGTGGCTAAATCCTACAGCAATATCGGTATTGCGTATTACAACATGGGTGATTATCCCAAGGCATTTTCATCATATGAACAGGCTCTTAAAATTCAACTACAATCACTTCCTCCCAATCACCCAGATGTGGCTTCATCCTACAACAACATCGGTAATGCGTATTCTGACATGGGTGATTATCCCAAGGCACTTT